ATTAATATATATCTTTTACTAAGTGTTTAATTTTGAATAAGTATTTATTTAAAAAAATATATAAATAAAAACAATCAATATAAAACTTTGACTACAAATGTGAAATAAAGTAAAATAAATAATCTTGAAATTAAAAACAATCGAAATAAACTTAAATATTTGATTTGTTTACCTGCATATCATGTGACCAGTAACCATTATTAGAGAACCGTGAACATCCAAATGAGTTGTTAGATTATTAAAATATAACTCGGAGGTATAAAATATTTAAGGTCAAAGATGTTCCACTTTAAACGAACCAACTCAAGCAAACGATTCATCCACGAATCTTTGCTAATCGGAACATACAATCATCATTATGAGTGTTTTTGGCGAGACCATAACGTGTTGAAGCAGTTGTTGAGTTCAGAGTTCGAGTCCCTTGCTATATAATTCGACTAAATGTGAACCGTTTCCTGTTTCTTTATCTCTTCGCTCAGAATCCGCTGCATTTCGGTGACTCCGACTGTGATACTTCGGATGCTGAATGTTCCGACGCCACCATCAGGAACAAGCCTCCCTGCGCTCCCTCTTCCTGGTGAACCTTCGGAGGAAACCACGGCAATAATCCACGCCTGCTGTAAACAGCCATTTTATCCAGCCCTTCCCATAATCCACCACTCTCTCTCTCTCTCTGAGCATCTCAGGCAGATTCCTCTGAAGTGATAATGTAGCTAGAGTAACACGCTTCATTTATTTTATTATGAGCTGGAGGAAGTGCAAAACAAAATCAGGAACTGGAATTCCAACATCAAAAAAATAAATTGCGAGTATTAGCGCTGGAGTGTTCAAAACAAAACAAGGCACCTCAATACCAGGTTAGTTAGTTAGCTAGTTAGCTAGGTTAAGATGATTGTGGTCTGCAAGAATGTGTGTATATATGTCCGTAGGTACGTGAACGAAAGTGTTAAGTGTGTAGCTTGAGGATCCATTCCGTGACGGGACCACAGACGCACGGGACGTCGAAACATGACACGTGTCCCTCTGGAAACCTGCGACTTCCTGAGTTTACAGAAGTGACGCCCTTCAGGGTAACTTTAATTTGAGCACCAGCAGGAACAATGTCTTTTTTTTGTTTCTTTTGCCCTTCTGACTTCCAAGATCTATGGATGAATCCCAGCATGCCTGCTTGGTCGGCATTTGATCAGCCAATCAGACGACTGCTTCTGCTGCTCGCCTCTACGGACAAAATGGAGGTTAAAAAAAACCAACTGCTCTACTGGAACAACGTCTTTAATGATCAAATCAGTGTTTAAAGGACCCCGGAGCAGCTTTTCTCTCATCTCAGGACTGTGTTTGAAGAGATGCCGCTGTGGACGGCCGGGTGAGAGCAGGACGCCTGCCGTGTGCGGAAGTAGGACTTCATCCCTAAAGAGTTTCTTTTTCTCCGTCATCTTTAACTTGACGTGAAAACCAACGATGGAGATGTTCTGGAGATGCAGTGTCCCTTTAGATTGAGTTAAAGGGATCTTTTACCCCCCCAAATAACACTATAGTTCATGTCATTTCAAACCTGTTTGACATACAAGTATCATACACTCTTGAAATAAGGGTTCTTGGCATTGATGGCTTCTGTTCCACTAACGGTTCTTTATTGTGAAAATTATTCTTTTAGATTTTTTAAACGTTCTTCACTCTTAGAAAACACAATTATTTTAAAGTGCCCCTAATATGCTATTTTAAAGGTTCCTAATTTAGTTTGGGATCTCCTGTTTACATGCGTCCTTGATCAAAAAACACTAGTTTTCTCATAATATACATCAGACATCTCATTTCTCGAAGAGTCTGAAAACGGTTAGTTTTAAGGTTCGGTCTCTCTAAACCCCTCTTTTCCGAGAGCTACTTTGCTCTGATTGGTCAGATGGCCCAGTCTGGTGTGATTGGTTTACTCTGCTCTGATTGGTCAGAAGACCCAGTCTGTTGTGATTGGTTTACTCTGCTCTGATTGGTCAGATGGCCCAGTCTGTTGTGATTGGTTTACTCTGCTCTGATTGGTCAGATGACCCAGTCTGTTGTGATTGGTCTACTCTGCTCTGATTGGTCAGACGGCCCAGTCTGGTCTGATTGGTCTACTCTGCTCTGATTGGTCAGACGGCCCAGTCTGTTGTGATTGGTCTACTCTGCTCTGATTGGTCAGACGGCCCAGTCTGGTCTGATTGGTCTACTCTGCTCTGATTGGTCAGATGACCCAGTCTGTTGTGATTGGTCTACTCTGCTCTGATTGGTCAGACGGCCCAGTCTGGTCTGATTGGTCTACTCTGCTCTGATTGGTCAGATGACCCAGTCTGTTGTGATTGGTCTACTCTGCTCTGATTGGTCAGACGGCCCAGTCTGGTCTGATTGGTCTACTCTGCTCTGATTGGTCAGACGGCCCAGTCTGGTGTGATTGGTCTACTCTGCTCTGATTGGTCAGACGGCCCAGTCTGTTGTGATTGGTCTACTCTGCTCTGATTGGTCAGACGGCCCAGTCTGGTCTGATTGGTCTACTCTGCTCTGATTGGTCAGATGACCCAGTCTGTTGTGATTGGTCTACTCTGCTCTGATTGGTCAGACGGCCCAGTCTGTTGTGATTGGTCGACCGCTATAACGTGTGTCGAAAACGAAAGGTATATTATCATAGACTTCGGATCTTCTTCAGCACTTGATACACAGTGATACGAACCGTAATGGTGGCGTCCGTTATAGTGTGAAAACAGCGTCGTCTCGACATGAACAACACTAACCAAACACTCCCAGTCTCAGTTACAACCACAGCGTTTGAGGAGCAAAGGACACGTCGTTCACGGGCAGCCAATGAAGACCATAGACTGGCATTATGCAAATGTATTACATAGTTATGTAGGTTTGTAACAGGAAGTGAGACTGGAATTACAGATGACTCGTTTCAGCAGTTCAGAATCGATCCGTTCTTTTTAGGACACAATAACTTTATTTATCTTTAAAACTTTGCAGACCTTTTACATTCACAAACGGCTAATATCCAAACAAGCATAATAGGAGAACCAAAAATGTTGCAAAAAACCTTTATTATTAAGAGTGTAAAGTTTATCGCAAGAACATAATACAGATTTGTAACAACATAAGGGTGATAAACGATGACATGATTATAGTTTTTGGTTCAAATATCCCCCTATAGCGTCTTTAATAACGTGTATGGTGTGTTTGTGTGTTTGTAGTGTGCTGTTCATGGAGACTGCAGAAGCGCAGATGTGTTAGTGTCAGCAATAACGTCTCAGGCCGGTGAGAAGCGTTCGCTCAGGACGACTGTCTAGCAGGCTGGACAGATCGAGAGGAGTGAGGCGAGGTGGATAGAAACTGCTTTGTAAAAGACCTCTATTTTTTCAGATATGAGTTCGTTATTTTTACACCGTGAGTTTTTTTCAGTAAAAAAAAAAAAAGGAACAGGAAAGAAAAGAAAAAAAAAGGGAAAATTCCCGTGCTTTTTGCTGGTTTAATGCTCAGGTTCAATGCTTTATAGTGCTAGTGAGTCTCCACTAGGGAAAGCGGTTTGTCTGTCGTGCTCGTGTTTGTGTTTGGAAATAAGGCCAGTTCACACAGTTTGCAAATCCAATCATTTTTCTGAACAAAACTGGATCAAACTGCAGTGTGAACGTGGTGGTCTGTGTGTCTCGGTGTCATTTCTCCCTCGCAAAACATGTTGCTTTTCATCTCCTTATGAAAGGGACTCTGCATCTTCCGGCATGTCTATATATTATTGTCGCATTCATATTTACCCTGTGTTTAGATATAGACGTTATAGTGCTAGTTAAAAAGCCTCGTTCATCATCAGTAAATGCAGCCAGATCCTCCAGATGTGTTGCTGAACAGCACACGGCATGTCAAATAAACTGTGAATGGTATTATTATTTTCCTTTTTGTTATTATCTACTTGCAGCTTACTAAACAGAGCCTTGCGAGATGTGACTCTATAATAAAACTACAGTATCGTTGAGTACGCGAGGAAAGCTGCCCGTCTGCAGCAAACGAACAAAGCAAAGGCCACTGGAAACAAACTCTACGTCAACATGAAAGCAAAACTCACCCTTTTTTGCTTTCGGCTTTATTGTGCACGTTTAAATTCAGGTTCATAATGTCCATCATTCAGTCATTTCCTGAAGGGGAAAATCAAGTCCTGTCCCTTTTCTCTCTTAATATCAAGTTTCACATGGAAATATTCAAAGTGAATTGGGTTGTGAACAGTGTTTCATGTTGACTTCAAACTCTGGGCCAATTTCCCAATGTCATTGGGGGGAAATATCAGCCATTATTGCTGTAATTGAGTTTTTTTGTTTGTCATTTCTGTTCAGTATGATGGTAATGTGCTAAAAACGCAGGATTTCTTTAGACGGAGTGAACTTTATTAACATGCAAGTCTGATTGTAATGAAGGCGAACCGAATACACGCACCAACCTCAATGTTTCCGTTTACGTGTTGCTCTAAAGATCAGGCCTGCGTTTTTAGTCTATGAAGTATGATGAAGTATGATGATGTATGAAGTCTTTCCGGCCACTGCGCCATCACAAATCCTGTAAAATATGATTTTAATTTAATTTAATTTAAAAATGTCTGTCTTTTTATTTGTAGCTGGTCTACATGATCATTTAACTTAATTTATTTTGATGCACTAGTAAGATTTCTGTTAATTTTTGTGTATTTTTCGTCTCATCTTCCCGTCTTCTGAAGTATTACTGACGAGGTGAGATGGCATCTTAAAGAAATGAACATTTTGGTTATTATTTTCTCCAGCCGTATGCTGTTGTTATTTTTATATGGAAATGGGGGAGGGGGATATCTGTACATTTATTACATCTGGACACTTTTCAAATTTCATTCTCATAGACCATTGTTTATGGCGAGAGATTATTGGCTCACATTTAATCATTGTAATTTTATTTAGAAATGAATAAAAACGACAATTATTCGTTCAGTTCGGCTGTTTAAACTGTACGTTCCTCTATTCTAAGTCCTGCCGTCTGTCTTATTCACATTAACTGTTTTGAATTGCTTTGTCAATAACTACAAATACAGGTATTTAAAAAATGAACTTAATTTGTGCAGAATTTTTTCCAGAATTGTCCTCCTCCAGTTATTTTCTTTCTCATGTCTCACCTCTTTTCCTCCCTGATCTTGAATGGTGTTCTGATCAACCAATCCTGGAGTTCCCCTGTAACCGCCGGTGTACAGTGTGACAGGAGTGTGTGTAAATCAAGGCAGAGCAACTGCATGGAATAAACACTGATGTACTGTACTAAACTCTCTGGCTTCTCCTCATTCTGTGCATATCATCTTTAATGTTTCGTTAAACTGATGCTCGTCGAGAGGTTTCTTGTGCATGTTGTATTTCCTTTACAGCCATAAATAAGGCCTAGTATTCCATGTCCATTCACTTACATGCGAATAAAGCAGAACTGAGTTTAAGGGCCAGATAACTTATCGTTTCATATAGAGTTGAATGTTCAAAGTTCACAAGTTTTATTGCATTTGCATATTATATAGATCATTAGGTCTCTGGAGTATTACTGCACAACCAGTGAGAAAAACATCTAGGTTACATTTCCCTAATTCACTTAATTACATGAACTATAACAAATGTTCAGCATTTTTTATAATTCAAATGTTCACCAGTGACCACAGCCTTGAAATGTAACCTTTTTTTCAGGAAAATCAATGTACTCATTTTTTTGTTCAATGATATTTTTTTATTTAGAATTTTGAGGGGATTTTATGATATGCAGTATTTATAAAAAAAAAATCCATTAGAATTAATACATTTTTAAAAAAGTCAATAAATGCAATATTTCACATTGACATAGTGAAGGCCTTTAAAAAAGTTCCATCTGGAGGCATTAAAAAATTAAAACTTGTGTATTGTTGTGTAACCACCTGTAAAGCTCCCTGCATAAATATAGAGAGGCTTTTGGATTCCCTTTGTTTTTTAGAAATAATTTAGACATATTTAGACATTGCAAAAGACAATTTTTGTCAAGGTTTACATATTTTTTTGTTAGATAAGTATCAGGTTTTGCATTATGACTACAAAGGGAACAGATGGAAAGTGTGTGTGTGTGTGTGTGTGATTACAAAGCTAATGTGACAAAAGTCTCCAAGTGTCATTCCTTTCCAATGAAGCAAAACTAGTTTTTAATTCAAATGTAAAAATTTTGAGCCCAGAGGCTTTTAAAAAGCAAGTCCTCTCTCGTTTTTTACATTCTTGAGTTTTTCTCAATGCCATGAGGACAAGGCATTACATTTTCAAATCATCACATTAACATTAGTTGCCAGAAAATGAAAGAAAAAACTAAATAACAAAAATATTAATAAAAAGAAAAAAGATTTATTTTTTTTACATAAAATCCAGTGCTTTTAAAGCATGACTTGTTCTCAGTTTTAGTTTGATCCAAACTATTTAGATATAATTTAAAGTCATTTTAAAAATGTGGTTTCCATTAAGCCCACTTCTTTTTATGCATATGGTATTTTTGCTAATAAAATAAATAGCCTAACTGTATAATATGTCATTCCAAAGTGCCATTCTGAGTATAAAAAAAGCACATCAAACACACACATTCATATCATCCGCTTCATGTTCCTACTATTAATTAAAGCTTTGAGTAAATACAGTGAAAAAACAGATGTAAAATAGTTTATTTTTCTAGTGCACAGTATTCACAGGTACATATCAAGCTTAAATCGGCTATAAAGCGAGCACAACACGTTTTTTATGACATCCCATGACGTTGCACTTCGGTTATTATGGTTATTGCCACACATGTGCACCGCAGCATCATGAATATTCCAGATCCTCCAGTTGCTCAAGGATAAGGAGATCGTGCAGTTCGACGCGTCGCATTCGCATTGTGCCAAACCCACCGTGCAACTTGTGTAGACCAGAGAGACGTCAGCGCGCGTCAGGGGCGTCCTTGCGTCTGTTTCCCGGAAGGTCAATCTGCGCAGGAGGAGACCCGACGCGACGCGCTGGAAACGAACTTCTCCGGACGATTGCTTCACAGTTGCACGGTAACCGTATACTGTTATTATTCCGCGGAAGACATCGACGCGACGCGACGCGAGCAGAATGAGTTCCGCGGGGCTGGAGAAGCTGCGGATGACCGGCGCGGGGCGAGCGATCGCCGCACTGACCAGCGGAGGAGACGCGCAAGGTGAACGCGCGACGCAGGGCCACAGACACACACACACACACACTGTCTTAACGCATTTACACTAGTGAATATGACTGATATACTAATATAATGATGACTAATATAACACGGCGTTATATAGGCAGCGTGTTTGTTCATGTCATAACGCAAAAGGAGGTTTATAATAAACTATAAAATGACCTGCACTGTCACCTGGTCAGATATACACTTTCTCTCAGCTGATGTTGAGTTTAACATGCATTGCATGTTCAGGCTGTTGCTCCACCGGTCGTCGTAATTATTCTAGAAGATTTGGGTAACTATCCTTGTATTTACCATAACAGTAAATTATGCATAATAACATGCAACTAACCCTCACCCAAACCCTATAGTAAGTACATAGTTGCTTAATATTACTCAGTACTTACATATATAATTGCACTGTAACAATGACACCTTAAAATAAAGTGTAAGCTACATCTGTACAGTAAGTACAGTATTGGATCTGCCAGATGAACAGTGAATCTTACTGACTGAACCGGTTAAGGACAGTCGATTTCACATAGAAAATGTAGCTTTATTGTTTTTATATTGTGGCTTTATTTCCATATAAATGTAGCATATTTTACCCCCATTTGCTCTATAGGCTACTGTTATTGATATGATGATTATGCTGATATACTATATGCCAGACAAGGTTATTATAATTAACTAAAACCATTTTTTTAAATGTAAGTAAAAAACTTACATGGTCACTGTGAACCCTATTTGCACTAAGTAATTTTAATGTTATATTGTCCATTTATCTCCAATACATCCTGCGGCTACAGATATTTGCACTAGTCATAATTGTCTCATTGTATTTTATATTGCTCATACTTATATTTATACCGTCTTTTTTATTTATATTTTCGGAGCCTTGCAATGAAATTTCGCTCAACTGTATATTGTGAATGTGCAGTTGAATGACAATAAAGTTTGTTTAAGTCTAATTCTAAAAAGATGATACATAGATAAACTTCTCATCTGGCAAAACACCGGTGTATCATATTTTTCAAAGCCTAAGTAATCTATTGGACGCCTTGGATAAACCGGAGGAGCTCTAGGACTCACGGGGGAACCTCGGTTTGATTAAACGATTTGACGCCACTAAATAAAATTATTTAAAAAAACAGTTTAATTAATTAATAAAAACTAGTAGTATTATATAATTATATTGAATATTATTAAATAATATTTGAATGGACAGGTTTTGGGGAATCGTGTCAGTGAATATACACTGTATTAAAATCCAGAAACTGATTACTCACTATTATTGATTATTGTTGGCATGATCATTTCCATGTAATGAAACTTCTGAATATGAGGATTAAAGGCTTGGACTGAATTGCTCTCTGTCAGGGATGAACGCAGCGATTCGTGCCGTGACCCGGATGGGCATCTATGTGGGCGCCAAGGTGTATCTGGTGTATGAGGTACTGCCAACATCATGCTTTCACGGTCTGTGCTGGTGTATGGATGATGAAACACTTGAAATCATGATATATGAGGATTAATGTGAGGATTCACTTTGATTTCAGGGGTATCAAGGACTGGTGGACGGAGGAGACAATATTAAACTGGCCAACTGGCAAAGCGTCACCAATATCATTCAGCTGGTAAGAGCATCAGACACTCAGATCCGGTTACATCCAGTCAGAAGCACAGCAGAACACCGTGCAAAAGTTCATTTATTTCAGTAATTCAACTTAAAAGGTGAAACTGATATATTATATAGACTCATTACATGCAAAGTGAGATATTTCAAGCCTTTATTTGTTATGATTTTGATGATTATGGCTTACAGATATGAAAAACCCCAAATTCAAAATTAGAATATTGTGAAAAGGTTTTCATATCTGTAAATCACACACACACACACACACACACACACACACACACACACACACCAGACACACGTCAGCAGCGTCTTACGTCAGCAGCGGCACTGAACGCGGATCCACAACAGAACCAGAATACACACACACACACACACACACACACACACACCAGACACACGTCAGCAGCGTCTTACGTCAGCGGCGGCACTGAACGCGGATCCACAACAGAACCAGAACACACACACACACACACACACACACACACCAGACACACGTCAGCAGCGTCTTACGTCAGCGGCGGCACTGAACGCGGATCCACAACAGAACCGGAACACAATACAATGCTGAATAAAGTCCTAGTTTGTGTTATTTTTGGACCAAAATGTATTTTCGATGCTTCAACACACTCTAACTAACCCACTGATGTCACATGGACTAACCCACTGATGTCACATGGACTAACCCACTGATGTCACATGGACTAACCCACTGATGTCACATGGACTAACCCACTGATGTCACATGGACTAACCCACTGATGTCACATGGACTAACCCACTGATGTCACATGGACTACTTTGATGATGTCTTTATTTCCAATACATATTGTTGCATTTTTGTATTGTGATATATTGTGACACGATATATTATTACACCCCTAATGTAGACAGAAAAGTGTTTAATAACAGCTTATAGCTTTGGAATGACATGTAGGAATTAGTAAATGAAGACAGTATTTTCATTCTCTGGGTGAACAGTGTGTGTGTGTGTGTGTGTGTGAGCTCGATAAACCCCGTCTGCGCTGACGGCTGTCTCATGTCTCCTTTAAAGCTGTGATGCATGCGACTGTTCTGGCGCAGCGCTGACGTGCATTTATGTCTGTGCTGAAGCATTGCAAATAATAACTATGATTAAAGACGTCTGATCATGATGCGCAGGCGTAACCTCAGTGTTGTCCTCCACAGGGAGGGACGGTGATCGGCAGCGCCCGCTGTAAGGCCTTCACCACGCGCGAGGGACGCTTAGCGGCGGCCTTTAACCTGGTGAAGCGTGGCATCTGTAACCTGTGTGTGTGTGGCGGAGACGGCAGCCTGACCGGAGCACACGTCTTCCGCTCGGAGTGGAGCGGACTCCTGCAGGAGCTGGTGGAGAAAGGTACCAAACTAGCCTGGTTAAAACCAGACCATTCTCAGTTGTAACTGAGTTATGGTCTGGCAAAGCATCATAGACAAATCATTTCCAGAGGAGCATCACCAATGGACGTCGCGGATAGACCTAAACCCAATCAGAGCGATGAAGGAGATGACGTATGCAGAGCGGCGGAGACACATCTCCGAGTGTTGTTCTTTGCTCGGTTTTTAACTAAAAGGAAACGTTCAAATCGCTTAAAACAGACGCGATAGCTGATTGGAACGAGTGATGTTCGACGGCGGCATCCATCTTTGTAATGTAGGCTACAAAATCTGCTTCAAAATCCCAGCGCTGTCGTCATCGTGTAAAGCCCGCCCCAACGCTTCTGATTGGAAATGGGCTTGAATGAGCTCTTTGCCAGACTAACTTTCAGAGCAAATCTAAATTTGCCGGAAGTTGTCTGGGTTTTCCCAGGCTAGGAAAACACACATTTAACATGAAAATGAAATGAAATTACCACTATAACCAGTAGATGGCTGCAGAGGATCACTCATTAGCTCATTTCCACTCCCTTTTATAGCTCTTTTCATATGTTTTCATTTTGGATTTATTATAAAATAAATATAACAAATTTTAATAATTTAATTGGACTGAAATATGAAGAAACAAGAGTAGGAAAAGCCACAACGTCTCATGCTATTTAGATGAAAGGAATTTTAATGAAAAAAAAAAAAAAAAAAAGCCCAGATTTTACAGTGGAATATATGACATGTGTTTCATGGGATCATTCTTTGATACCTTTGCATCTGTTTTAAAAACAATATGGTAACACTTTATATTACGACCCGCAAACAAGTAAACCGAAATTACGGTGTACGTTTCTGTAATTATAGTGTACTTCCGTGTAGTATAAGGGAACAATATGTTAGGTTTTGGGTAATAAAGGGGTACAACCAGATATACAAGCAAATTATTTATAATGTAATTATTTTAAAACTAACAGGTACCTATTCTGTTAATATATTCCCGAGCAATCTAAATTTGCCGGAAGTTGTCTGGGTTTTCCCAGGCTAGTACCAAACCACACCAGCATGTGGAAAACACAGCTTTGCTTTTCACTTTATAGTTTAACATTATATGCTATTTTAAAGGTACGTCGCCACTAAAAATGAAATTTAGTCGTTATTTTTGCCGTTCTGTTAGAGTTTTATATCCTAAAAGAATAGGGATGCATGATACAGGTGAAACTCGAAAAATTAGAATATGGTGCAAAAGTTCATTTATTTCAGTAATTCAACTTAAAAGGTGAAACTAATATATTATATAGACTCATTACATGCAAAGTGAGATATTTCAAGCCTTTATTTGTTATAATTTTGATGATTATGGCTTACAGCTTATGAAAACCCCAGGTTCAAAATTAGAAAAGGTTTTCATAACTGTAAGTCATAATAATCAAAATTATAACAAATAAAGGCTTGAAATATCTCACTTTGCATGTAATGAGTCTATATAATATATTAGTTTCACCTTTTAAGTTGAATTACTGAAATAAATGAACTTTTGCACCATATTCTAATTTTTTTAGTTTCACCTGTATATCGGCCAACATGTGTTCAGTTTTTCTATCGTTATCGGCCCGATAAGAACATTTGGCTGATATATTAAAGCTGATAAATAATGTATTATTTCCTTCAGCTGAGACACTTCAGATGCACACTGTTCAACGTGATGGTTTTGAATTGCTTGAAATATGATTGGAATCACTTCAAAAAGGAAAATATGGTGAAGTGCAACATTTTCAGCGCGAGTCTGTCATAAAGGCACATTAGGAGAACATTATAATTGTGTGTTTGGAATATGGATTTTAATGGTGAGACTTTTGTTTTTGAAATCAGGCTCATACAAATTATAGAAAAACCTTTTTATTTAGATTTTATGATTTAGATTTATCGGCTAATGTATTGGTTATTGGCTTTCAAATAAAAATAATTATTGGTATCAACCAAAATGTTCATATGCATCTCCCTAAATAGACGTATTGTAAGGTCATGAAAGCGGACTCAAGCTCGTGAATGATCAGTCGGGCAGTAAAGTCTCCTCAGGATAAGAATCATAAATCTTTATGAAAGCTGTATCAAAGTGTCAACGCAAGTCATTGACTCATCAGTGTTCAGGAAACCATTTTGAAATAGTCGTTTCCCAAGATACAAACTACTCATAATATAAAGTTCAGCTACAGTCAGCTAGTTCGCTCTGCTACAAGTTACTTGCAAAAAGTTGTTCCTTATTTTCATATTAATAATAAATTAATATTATTTATCTTCTTTACGTGGCATCAATGTTATTATGGTTGTTAACTAAACCTAAAACTATCCCTTAAACCTCATCTTTGATCACCAAAATTACATATTTCAAAGTTTTTTCCTTGAAAAAAAATAAATCTTCATGCATTAAAATATCTTGAATGTAACCCGACACCCTTGCCTCATTTAGTATACGCGGCTCTATGAATATGCAAATGAGCCCCGCCTCCACTCACTCACTCAGCTCAGAGATCCACTGGTTGACGATCACACGTTGATCTGATTGGTTACAAGGTCGTTTGTGACGTCAGAAACACCAGCGATTTCAAACCGTGTTTTTGAGACTGTCTTTGGTTCACTGCAGTTTAAGCAGAAAATACTCAGCAATGCTGTCGACTTATGAATCTACACATGGTTTGTCTTAAAGCATATTAAAAACACCACATAGACATATAAACTACATTAAAAACTGGATTTACATCACAGGGGGACTTTAAACACATTTCTGTTAATTGAAATAAAGCTGAAATAAAAAATAAATATTGGTTGAAAAACTTAAATTAAAATTGTTGGAATGTTGCCTTTGCAATAAACTGAAATAAGATTAAATTGAAGACTCAAATTATTAACTGAAAATAAATAAAAACTTATTACTTAAATTAAAACTTAAATTAAAACCAAAAAAACTAATAAAATGACAAAAGCACATAATGAAATTACTACAAATGCAACTGAAGTTAACAAGAAAACTAAAAATATAAAAGTAATTCAAAATAGTAATAAAACTAAAATAAAAACTGGCATGAAAAAGTATAGTCCTAATTAGACAGAAATTGAATGGATAAAATAACTGCTAACTGTGATTTTTAATTTTTGCACATTTCTGAAATACATAACTTAGACAGTTTCCTCTGATATCAGACTCTAAACTGTAATGTGGACTCGTGCATTTTCTGTAAAGATGTTTTGACGCGATGTGTTTTGTGAAAAGTGCTATACAAATAATTGTGAATTGAATTGAATAAAATAACACTAAATGCTACTTATCTAACTCGAAAACACTTATTGAAAATGTTGATGAACTAAATATTTGCCCACAGAAGGAAGTCTGTGGATCGTTGTGAACTATATTTCCTGATTGACAGGTCGGATCACGGCAGAAACGGCCCGTCAGCACGGGCACCTGAACATCGTGGGTCTGGTCGGGTCCATCGATAATGACTTCTGCGGGACCGACATGACCATCGGCGCTGACTCGGCCCTCAACCGCATCACTGAGATCATCGACGCCATCACCACCACCGCCACCAGGTCCACTGAGCTCAGAGAAAACAATGAAAACTATATACACACATTTATAAACAAACTGCTAAAAACGACAGAAAAACAACAAAATTACTAAAACTTTAACTGAAATTAAAATGTAAAATATAAAAATAAATGTTAACTAAAATAAAATATAAAAAAGTAAACTTTTTTATTTAGTTTAACTTGACGTACTAAAATAACAATGTGAAACCGAAATAAAAATGAATAAAAACTAGACAAGTTACTAGCTGTAACTACTAAAATGACAGAAAAACAACAAAATTACTAAAACTTTAACTGAAATTAAAAATGTAAAATATAAAAATAAATGTTAACTAAAATAAAATATAAAAAAGTAAACTTTTTTATTTAGTTTAACTTGACGTACTAAAATAACAATGTGAAACCGAAATAAAAATGAATAAAAACTAGACAAGTTACTAGCTGTAACTACTAAAATGACAGAAAAACAACAAAATTACTAAAACTTTAACTGAAATTAAAATGTAAAATATAAAAATAAACGTTAACTAAAATAAAATATAAAAAAGTAAACTGTTTTATTTAGTTGTTATGAGGTTGCAGGATAGACGAACCCAAAAGCAGACTGATTGCTCTACACACAATTTATTGAGGACAAAACAGAAAACAAAAACCCACGAGGGGGCAAAACAGGACAGATGGGGCAGTACAACTAGACTAAGACAGGAAATAAACTAGGACTTGATACTGACTGATAAAGACAAGATGAAGAAAACAAACAGCTACATAAACTCACAATTCTTAATACAATATTCAGACAAAGTACTCACAGGACTCTCACAAAGAATAACACGCACAGGTTGACAATGTACCGACACAGGACAGCAAACACAAGGGGATTAAAAAGGGAGACACTAATGACAAAGACAGGTGAAGCTGACTAGACAAGGACAGGTGAAACTGACTAGACAATAATGACGAGACGAGGATAACAAGGGGGCGGGGTAAGATAACGAGACAACACAAGCACATGGCACAAAACACAAGACCATGTGCTTGCACACAAAACATGGGTCTGTCATGATCCTGCCTCAAGACTAGAGAAAAGAAATGACAAGAGGGCAGAATCATGACATTAGTTTAACTTGACGTACTAAAATAACTAAATTTAAAACTGAATAAGAATTTTTAAAAACTATTTACACATATTTAAAAAAAAATACAAAAAATGACTGAAAAACAACAAAATTACTAAAACTTTAACTGAAATTAAAATGGAAAATATAAAAATAAACGTTAACTAAAATAAAGTATTAAAAAAGGTAACTTTTTTAATTAAGTTTAACTTGATGTAATAAAATAAAAATCTAAAACTGAAGAACTATTTACATACATTTTTAAAAAACTACTAAAATGACAGAAATGCAAAACATAATTACTAAAACTTTAACTGAAATTAAAATGGAAAATATACAAATAAACGTTAACTAAAATAAAATATAAAAAGTAAACTTTTATTTAGTTTAGCTTGATGTACTAAAATAACAATGTGAAACTGAAATAAAAATGAATACAAACTATATAGACATTTTAAAAAACTACTAAAATGACAGAAAAACAACAAAATTACTAAAACTTTAACTGAAATTAAAATGGAAAACAAATTAAAACTAAAATAAAATTTAAAAAAGTAAACTTTTTAATTTAATTTAACTTGATACTGTACTAAAACAACTAAATGTAAAACTGAAATATATATATATATATATATAAATTTTTTATTTTACTTGTTTTTTTAACTTGATTTACTAAAATAACTAAAAATAAACTATATAGGCATATTAAAAATAAAAACAAAAAACACTAAAATGACAAAAACACACAACAAAATGACTAAATCTTTAACTAAAATTAAAATCAAAATGGAAAATATAAAATCCAAAATATTATTAAAAACTATAATTGTATCTCAACGATCCTCAAATGACACTGGCTATAAGACCATAGACCATATGTAGATAAGTAAATATAATTAATGGGAGATTGTCTGCGACTGACGACTGATTTCCTGTTGTTTGTTCAGGAATGTGTGGAATTCTCGTCTCGTCTCGTCTCGTCTCTCTTGTTCTCCTTTCACCCCTCCACACACACACACACTGTTTTCAGCAGTATACAGTTGCACGTAGGCAGATGTACATACATTAAGACAAGTTTTCTCCATTTGATGTGCTCACTGTGTTATTGATCTTTTTTCCAGCCATCAGCGCACGTTTGTGCTGGAGGTCATGGGTCGCCACTGCGGGTGAGTTTCCCCTGCGCCGCACACACACCAAGAAGATCATGGGGAAATTACAAACATGTTTAGATTTGAGATCATGTTTACGCTCTAGAAACCACTCAGAACATCTTGGCAACCACCCAAACATTCTAACAGTGCCCTAGCAACCACCCAGAACATCTTGGCAACCACCCAAACATTCTAACAGTGCCCTAGCAACCACCCAGAACATCTTGGCAACCACCCAAACATTCTAACAGCGCCCTAGCAACCACCCAGAACATCTTGGCAACCACCCAAACATTCTAACAGTGCCCTAGCAACCACCCAGAACATCTTGGCAACCACCCAAACATTCTAACAGTGCCCTAGCAACCACCCAGAACATCTTGGCAACCACCCAAACATTCTAACAGTGCTCTAGCAACCACACAAAAACCTTGTGGCAACCACACAAACATTCTAACAGTGCCCTAGCAACCACACAAAACATCTTGGCAACCACCCAAACATTCTAAAAGTGCCCTAGCAACCACACAAAACATCTTGGCAACCATCCAAACATTCTAACAGTGCCCTAGCAACCACACAAAACATTTTGGCAACCACCCAAACATTCTAACAGTGCCCTAGCAACCACACAAAACATCTTGGCAACCACCCAAACATTCTAACAGTGCCCTAGCAACCACACAAAACATCTTGCCAACCACTCAAACATTCTAACAGTGCCCTAGCAACCACCCAGAACATCTTGGCAACCACCCAAACATTCTAACAGTGCCTTAGCAACCACCCAGAACTTATTGGCAACAGTTATTTTCAGTATTGTTTATATAATATTACAGTATTTATCAACATGTTTAATACTGCTAATTTTCTGTTTTAGTTTTAGTTTGCTTTTTAACTTTACTAGTTGTTGTTGTTTTAGCTTTAATTTTTATTTCAGTTTTAGTCATTTTGGTACGGTACTTCAAATTATATTTCTATAAACTTTTATTTCTGTTAGTTGCCAAGGCAACATTTCTAATTTACCTCAAATAAAAAGGTTAAGTTTTATAAATACTTTATTTCAGTTTACCTTTATTTAAAAAAAAATCCTTTTTCCTTTTAATTTTAGTTAATTTTTTTGTCATTTTTTGTGCATTTCTTTGCTTTTAAGTAGTTTTTTTTTTTTTTTTATATATATCTGTATAGAATTCATTTTCATTTCAGTTTTAGATTTTCTACTGCAATTAAATGCTCTGCTGTTTATATAATGAAAATTCTGCCATGATTTACTCCTCCTGACAGGTTTTGATGAGGTTGAGATAATAATAATGTCAGAATTTGAGTCCTGTCATGACAACTCTCAGTGTGTTTGGTATGGTTATGGATATGACAATATTGCTATGTTTAGTCATGTTGGAATAGATCTGCTACACTGCTGCTGTTATTGCTGTGAGCGAGTAAGAGAACTCTGTGCCCTACAGAGAATTATTTGATTGCAAGTAGATTGAGTTAAAGGGTTAATTCACCCTAAAATGATATTTACTCTCCCTCAAGCCAGCCTAGGTGATGTTTTAGGGTTTTAGAAAGCATTATGATTATCACTGCTCTCCTGCAGGTATCTAGCGCTGGTGTCGGCTCTGGCGTCAGGAGCCGATTGGCTGTTCATCCCTGAAGCTCCTCCTGAGGACGGCTGGGAAGAGCTCATGTGCGCTCGACTGGGAGAGGTGAGCTCCTTTATAGACCATTAAACACACTGGTGGAGCACACATGATGCCGTTAAGTAAGTTAATTGTATTAAGTAAGTTCATTCGAAAATAACACTGCTCTTATAACTTATTAATGGCATGATTCATAAGAGTTATAAGAGCAGTGTTATTTTCATGATTATTTTGAATTAACTTTTATTTTTGGTCACACTTTATTTTACAGTGTTCTTACTGTTACATGTACTTCCCATAGTAATAACAGTAAATTATGCATAATTACATGCAACTAACCAAACCCTAATCCTACCCTAACCCTATAGTAGTTGCTTAATATTACTCAGTACTTACATATATAATTACACTGTAACAATAACACCTTAAAATAAAGTGTAACCTTATTTTTATATTATCAGTTTTTGTTTTAATTTTAGCTTAAGCATTAGAAATTTTGTTATGAGCTTTTATAATTTGTCATTTTTTATATTATTATATAGCTTTCAATTATTTTTATTTAAGTTTTAGTAATTTTAGTAAAGATCAGGGCCCGTATTCATAAAGATTCCAAGAATAATTTAGCTTAAAAGCTTTTACGTAGGAGTCTTAGCTTAAGAGCGATTCGGGACCGATCCGAGAGCAACTCTGAGTAAGGAAAAGACAACAACGTTCATCTTAGTGAGGAGGCGGGGCTGACCCCGTTGCTATGTGTGACACAATCTTTTGAAGACTGTGATTGGTTGGTTGTCCAAGAAGGAAAAAAAAGAGTGATTTGAAGTATAGGGTCTATTCTAAGCCTTCACTTTGAAATTACATGCGTAATTTTTCCTATTTGACCGTTCACACTCACACACACACACACACACACACACACACTCACACACACATTATATATGTGTATATAAATCCTTTTTTTTATTTACCATGCTGTTCATTTCCTATAAGGTATTTGATTGGCTTCGAATGATAAAAATTGCTCCACTCTTTCCAATTACACTGATTGCTGTCATGTCTATTTAAGTGCTGGTTTGAATGTAACAAACATGGAATCAAAACCAAGAAAGCCGGACTGGACAGAGGAACAGTGTTTACTGTTAGCCCAGTTAGTGGACGAACACAAGGCCATCCTTAAAGGAACATTCGGGCCGGGTGTCGATCTATAGCGTCTTATTAACTCACTGTCATCGATTGCAACACACTTCTTCTCCCTCTTCATCTTTCTGCCATCTCTCCTCTGCTAAAGAAACTCTTAAGCCTCTTAAAAGTCCTCGTCCGTACTCCTAACAATTTGGACCTTAAGACCTCTTTTAACGGTTAAGATTCTTTCTGAATTACTTTTTTCTTTACTACTAATTTTAAGAGTAAACGCCCACATTTCTACGAATTTACTTAGAATTCTGTAACTAGGAGCGACTCTTTACATTAAGATTCTTTATGAATACGGGCCCTGTTACGACCCTTGGCTCAAGGGAAGCAACAAAAACAAGGGACACACGTAAACCAAATTGTAAGCTCAAAAGTAATATTTATTTAACTACAAAAGTAAGACAAAACTAAATAATAAAATGAAAACATTTAAAGAAAATAGAAGTGTTTCTGTATTCATCAGCAAGATCAGTGTGTAAAGCAAGATGCATGGTCGAAAGTGTAATGCAATGTTGAAGTTGAAATGTAAATGCAAAAAGTAACAAAATACAACGCAAGCAAAAGGCAAAGTTCAAAAGCAAAGTCCAAAACCAAAGTTCCCTCTCCCTTGGCTCAGTTGGTGATCTCTTAAGAAGCGTCTAAGGCACGGTCACAGGTGTTTCCAGTTGACTGCCAATTGAGGCAATTAGTGGGCTCCGGTACCAAACTGCAATTCTCAAAAGCAGCAGCAGAGGTCGTCACAGGCCCTGATTTTTCACCTATATTAGTATTTTATTACATGGCTCTCTGAAATGCTTGATTCTGATTGAGGTCAGTGATTCCCCAATAGAGTGCATTAGATAGAAATAACTCCTTAAGATAACAACAGCCCAGTTTTACTTCCATATCATTTTAACACTCAACTGCTGGATGTGTTTGCCCAGAGCCGCAGTAAAGGATCCAGACTGAACATTATCATCATCGCTGAAGGAGCCATCAGCAGAAGCGGCGAGGCCATCACCTCCAACTACATCAAAGACGTGAGTGAAGCTCTTCAGCTCGCAACATGAGCTCTTAAAGGGACAGGACACACAAAATCATTTACTCACCGTCTAAATGGATATGGATTTCTTTCTTCTGCTGAACACAAAACATCATATTTTAAAATACAGTTGAAACTCGAAAAATTAGAATATGGTGCAAAAGTTCATTTATTTCAGTAATTCAACTTAAAAGGTGAAACTAATATATTATATAGACTCATTACATGCAAAGTGAGATATTTCAAGCCTTTATTTGTAATAATTGTGATGATTATGACTTACAGCTTATGAAAACCCCAAATTCAAAATTAGAATATTGGTTTCCATAAGCTGTAAGCCATAATCATCACAATTATTACAAATAAAGGCTTGAAATATCATGTAATGAGTCTATATAATATATTAGTTTCACCTTTAAAGTTGAATTACTGAAATAAATGAACTTTTGCACGATATTCAAATTTTTCGAGTTTCACCTGTATATGGGTTACCAAAAAGTTTGATTTCCATAGTATGGACAAAAAAAATATTATGGACATCAATACCGACATTTACCAACATTCTTCAAAATATCTTCTTTTGTATTCAGCATAAGAAAAAAACGTATACAAGTTTGAAACAACCTGAGGGAGAGTAAATGACGACAGAATTTTTATTTTTTTGGTGAACTATCACTTTAAAGTAATTTTTTAGTACATGCTAATTCAATTCCCATATATATTATTTACACCTGCTTTAGTGTTTTCATAAAATTTACCATAAGTTGGAACTTATTAAATGTTAGCCATGTTTTCTAGAAGTGATATGAAGTCGAAGCTTGTTTCCACCATGAAACAAAAAATAAAATAAGGTTTGTTAAAATAAGGTATTTTCTTGTAATTTTGAGTTTATATCTCACAATTCAGACTTTTATTACTCACAATTCTGTTTATATCTCACAATTCTGAGAGAAAAAAAGTGAATTACCAGTAATAAACTCACAATTGCACAAAAAAAAGTATATATAAGTATTTATATCTCACAATAAAAGTCAGTATTTCGAGTTATGAACTCAAAATTGCAAGATGTAAACTCGCATTTTGAGAGAAAGGAAGTCAGAATTGTAACTTTTAACTAGTAACTTTTTACAAGGAATAAGTCAGAATTGTGAGATGAAAAGTCGCAATTACCTCTTGTTTTTTTATTCAGTGGTGGAAACAAGCGTCCACAGTCTTCTGATAAAAAATCTTCTATAGAGACATTTTAAGTCTTTTTGATAAATTGATCAATTTTGCAACACTGTTATTTTCTATGAAGCTGCCTTATTGTATAAAGCTCCCTAGAAATAAGTGTGGTGAAAAAAAGAGACCAATAAAATCAGTATCAGCAGCTCTTGACCAATCAGATGTGTATAAATGACCATGTGATTTGTGTTTGCGTGCAGCTGGTTGTGTCTCGTCTGGGTTATGACACTCGGGTCACTGTTCTGGGTCACGTCCAGAGGGGCGGCACACCCTCAGCCTTCGACAGAGTCCTGGTAAATAAACACTTTCAATTAAAGGTGCAGTGTGTAATATTTAGGAGGATCTGTTGACAGAAATGCAATATCATATACATAACTATGTCTTCAGTGGTGTATAAAGACCTTAAAATGACCTAGAATGAGCCATTTCTCTCTACACACACCGCGGGTCGCCTTACATCGACGTGTTTCTACGGTGGCCCTGAGCGGACAAACGCGTTTCGTCACTATGTTGCTCTTCGTGCAAAGAAGCTATAGCTAAAGTCAGCGAATAAAACACTGCAGGGTTTCCGCGGGGTCTTAAAAAGTCTAAAATTTCAAAATCACAATTTAAGGCCTTAAAAAGTCTTGAATTTGCTGAAGTATTGTGTTCTAGGTCTTAAATCATTTTAAACAGCTCTTAATTTTTCTACGTCCATGTAAATCTCATTGAAACGCTCCCGCGGCGCTTTGGAATGTTTTATTTTTTTATTGCGTGGTGTTGTAGTTTCTTATTTCGCTAGTCCAAGTATAATTCGCTGTATTACGACTACAAAATAGACAAACATGCAACAGCCAATCAGCTTTGTGCATCCATCTAAGCTGTCTTCAGTACTGTTCAGTTTGAATAAATTTATTTACTTTGCAAGTCATTTTGAGACTCTGCGTTTCCTTTTTTTAATGTCGTGATATAGGTCTTACATTTAATTCATAATGGTCTTAAAAAGGTCTTAAGTCTTAAATTTGACTTTGTTAAACCTGCAGAAACCCTTTTCTATGTTTACTCACTATCTTTGCTGGGGAAGTTCGTGTAAACCAAATCTACGCGGATTAAGCGCAAATACGCAACTCGTGAGTCCTCATGATATATTAAATACAGAATCTGCTCATATCTGGCTTACTTGAACACACACGTCACTACGCAACAAATAACGGCGCGCTTGTTCACTTGCATTGAAGTAATAGCGAATATGACGACATGAGTGACGACATCACTTCCTGTCGGCCACCGTAACTTCTGTTGGGTGTGATTCACAACATCACCACTAGATGCCGCTAAAAATCCCACAGTGCACCTTTAAACCCTAACATTAGTTTTGAGTAGTGATGTTGAAGTGAGGCTGTGGGTGTTTCGTGTGTAGAGCAGTAAGATGGGTGTCGAGGCCGTGGTGGCCCTGCTGGAGGCGGGACCGGACACCCCCGCCTGTGTGATCGGCCTATCAGGGAACCAGGCCGTGCGTCTCCCGCTCATGGAGGCCGTAGAGATGGTGAGTCTTCAGTAGTGCACCGCTTTTTATTCACAAGTTTTTTTTATTAAATTTTGCAGACATATAAAAGGTATTACATCAATTACAAAATGAGATGAGATGTCTGGTAAGATATATATTATATAATTAATATTATATTTTAGTGCTGCCACTAACGACTAATTTTCTAACGACTAATCTTTCGACTAATTTTTCGATTAGTCAACTAATCTAAACGACTAATTAAAAAAAAAACATTGTTTGTCATTTCGTTGTGTCCATTTTATTTTGAACTGAAGGGCCAAAATATAAAATGTCACCTGTTGAAAAACATTATGTATTAACAATCTAAGCATAAGTATCTGCATTTCCATTAGGCTATACCATTAGTCAGAGTTCTAATCTAATCCTCTATTAACAAACATGCATGTATTCATTACTTAAATTAGCTCTTTGTCCTGCCTTAAATTAATGCATTAGCTTACTGTACATTTTTATATGTACATTTCTGAAATGCATAACTGATAACATCACTGTGAATTGTAGGCTAAAGTAGATGCACTCATGCATTTTAGGTAAAGCTGCTTTGAAATAGGGGTGGAACGGTACATGTATTCGTATCGAACCGAAACGGTACGGGCGTCACGGTTCGGTGCACGAATTTGCACGGAGAATACACGGTACAAAAAAACCTCTTAAATAGCGATAAATTTCGCTTTATTCGCTTTTGGTGTGACTGTGAACGCGGGCTGCGATCAAGACTGTGATCAAGATTGCAATGCTGGAGTGTGTGTGCGAGAGAGAGAGAGAGAGAGAGAGAGAGGCGCGATTAACAGTGTGTGTGTGTGTGTGTGTGTGCGCGCGCGCGCGCGTGTGTGCGAGAGAGAGGCGCGGGCACGATCGAACAGTGTGTGTGTGTGTGTGTGTGTGTGTGTGTGTGCGCGCGCGCGCGTGCGAGAGAGAGAATGATCTCTCCTGCGCGATCGAACAGTGGAAACATAAAAACATACTCCGTAATTTTTTTTATACAGGACTTCATTAAAACTGCAAATTGTTACTTATATTTGTGTACACTCGCAATAAAACACTACATTGTGCTTTTGTCACACTGTAAACTCTTGTCGAACTGTAACCTACAACTGTTAACAAAAGTTTTGAATGGTAGTATTATTTTATACGGAAATCAACTATTTATAATTCAGATGAGAATAAAGTTAGGGTTAACTAAAATGAAGGAAAACAAATATATTGATCTGAAATAGTAAATTAATTTTAAATTCATTCAGGTACAATTACCAAACATATCTCAAGGTCTTTTCATCTTTTTATTATTGTCAGTGCACTACAAATAAACTGGTTCTATGCCTTTATTAATAAAACTTATTTAAAAAATACAAGGCTTAAGACATTTATAAAAATACCTTCTGCATTTTTGTTTTGCTTTTCACTCCATTGTACCGAAATCATACTGAACCGTGATGTCTCAACCGAGGTATGAACCGAACCGTAACTTCTGTGTACCGTTCCACCCCTACTTTGAAACAATATGTATTGTGAAAAGCGCTATAGAAATAAATTGGAATTGAATTGAAAGAGTCTGGACTAGCCTACTACGCTTAGCTCTGCCTTATAATAAATCGCGCTGAAAGCAGGCAGGCACGCAGATATGCAGCTCTCGTTTACACTTGCGTGCATGCCGGGTCCGTGCCGCGGTTCGCGTGAATGTGAAAGCAACACGGACTCGGGTGCGCGTTTTAGCTGATTATGTATTTAGTTAAATAAAACACTTGTAGGGGATGATAGTGTTGATGATTTACCTTGGATACGAGCGAGAGCGAGTCTGCAGTGTATTGGCGCTTAGCCCGTGGAATCAGGGCAACACATTTGGAAAAGTGTCTCCTCAAAAGAGTCAATTTGCAAGCAGCAGAAGGCCACCTTATGCGACACACGCACCTGTGTTGTTCACTCAGCTGCGCATAATAGCACAGAATTAATTAAAATATATATATATATTGACCCGCGTTCTGTTTTCTATCATGCGCCGTGTACGTTTGCGATTGCGTAAGATGCACGCAAACACACCAGGGTTCGGTAATTAAGTTGAGTGTGAAACCAGACCAACGCTGGGGGGGGGGGGGGGCGCCGGGAACAATCGCGCGCGGGCTCGGACCGCAGCAAACGAGCCCAGTGTGAAAGCACTAGGGGTGTGCAAAAAAATCGATTCACATTTGAATCGCGATTCAATCTTTACCGATTCAGAATCGATTCATAGAATTCCAAAAATCGATTCATTTTTTTTTTTTTTTATGGCGTGCACGGGTGGAGTGGCAATCGGGTGAGTCGGGACTTTTACCAGTGGTCCGGTAGTGTTTCGAGGCTGCGAGGGCCGGTCTGATGAATAGTTATACATTGCAAGTTCTTGCCGCCCGCTGGTCAAACTGTGCAGCCTCTCTGCTCAACCCGTGAATAAATGCATCGATCCGCAGATCTTATGTTTGAGTTGTGTAGATCTGTTGCCAAGCGTGTCCGAGGTTATGGGTTCTAAAACCACACTCGTATAGTGTTTTCTCTCTCTCATCAAAACCGAATATGTTCATCACGTTTGTGAGCATTTTATTTTGTGATTTTACCGGAGTCTCCACAACGGCGATAGATTAAAGCGCGCGTCCGAGTGAAGACTGCGCGAGCCACAGAGAACACTGTATCCATGACACTGATAGCAGCGGACACGAGCGCTCAGCTTGATTTCAAAAACAACAGATCTCTTATTTAATAGCGAACTAAATAAATGCTCTGCTAGTTAACTGGAGATACCCGCAAATTACGCCTATGAACGACTTCACTGGATCTAAACAAATCAATCTAACCATAGATGTTACCAGTAGCGGTGGCTTTTTTTTAATCTATTTAAAATAATTTCGCAAGGGTTCTATCGACATTAGTATATATTTTTAGGAAGTTCAATGTGCCCAGTCGAGTTCACATTTCAACAGTCAGCCTGGTAGCTGAAGTAGTCCTTAAACCACATTTAGCATAATTGTTTGTTTGATCTGACTACAGCACTTTAAAGCTAAATGTAAAAGCTTCTGTTTAAGTTTTATTTTAAACTTAAATTAAATGTAAGCTGGCCAAACCTTGGCACTTTGCACTTTTTAGTTGCAGAAGTTTTTATTTTTGTAGGAAGTCATATAAAGTAATATCAAACTACATTTAATTTGCTGTGTTTTTTTCTTTTAAATTGTGTCTACTGCAATCAATCACAGGAAAAAGTAAACTACATTTATATACTGCGAATCGTTTTTTGAATCGAGAATCGTTTTTGAATCGAAAATCGATTTTGAATCGAATCTTGAGACAAAAAATCGGTATCGAATCGAATCGTGACATTTTCTGAATCGTGCACCCCTAGAAAGCACCGTCACCTGCCTCCGCAATTTTTCATATCAAAGCAGTGAAGGCGGGGGAGGGGGAAGGAAGAGGATGGCAGATTAACCAGCAGGGTGCGCACATCGCACAGACTGGTGTGTGGAGCTGAATTACAGTGAGCCGTTTGAGACGGGAGACCAAAAATAAATATGCGGTCAATAGTAAAACGACACGTCGACTAAAAAAATTGGCGTCGACTAATTTGCATGGTCGATTACGTCGACTAAGTCGACTAATCGCGGCAGCACTATTATATTTATATATATATATATTAAATAGTGGACTGTTTTTTGTTGGTTTTTCTTCTTGAATGAGGGTTGCAATCTAAAAGAACTGTTTTCTGTTTGAATATATGCTAACACTTTACAATAAGGTTCATTAGTTAACTACCTTAGTTAACATGAACTAAGAATGAACATTACTTCTACTGCATTTATTAATCTTAGTTATTAATTTCAACATTTACTAATACATTATTTAAATCAAAGGTTGTATTTGTTAACATTAGTTAATGCGCTGTGAACTAACATGAACCAACAATGAACAGCTGTATTTTTATTAACTAATATTAACAAAGATTAATAACTACTGTAACACATGTATTGCTCATTGTTCGTTCATGTTAGTTAATACATTAACTAATGTTAACTAGTGAACCTTATTGTAAAGTCTTACCGAATATATTGTAAAATGTAATTTATTCCTTTGATCAAAGCTGAATTTTCAGAATCATAACTCCAGTCTCTACTGTATATACAGCCAAACATTAAAGGAAAATCATTTGCTTTTCTGCTTATTATTACTCTGCATGTTTATAGCTATCATCCAAACTTCACCAAAGTTGGGTCAGGTAATCTTAAAAAAAATTGGTATTTGATATACCAAACAGTTCATGTGTAATGCACTAATGAATTTGACAAGCAATCTTTTGGGGGTTTTTTTGTTGTCTAATTTAATTTCTAAATTTTTGTCTAATAATTTCTCACATCATTAAGGCAAGACACCAAGTGAATAGGGTAAAATGTAAAACTAATTGATAATCCCATACCTCCGTAGTTAATTAAACACTAAAGGACATTCAATTTTGTATTACATGTTTTTGTGAAATGTTATGTTTAAATTTGCAATGAGGCATCATCTAATTAAATATGCAGGACTTTGCATAAATTCCCAGAGCATTGGATAATAATAATAATAATAAAAAATCATTGGATAAAGCCAGGTTTAAAATTATTTGATTTTGCTGACATATTAGAGTTAAAAGTTTTAACTGAGAGGATTTTGGATTTTTCTTTTTATCACTCCAGAAATCAGACTATCAACAACCAAAAATATATATATATATATATATTTTATGTATAACATGTTCTATAAATCAGGCGAATAATAAATGAACAAACCTTCAGTGTATAGATAGGAATGAAACTAAAGTTTGGTGTGTGTAAATCTGCTGAAGTGGAGATTTCTGACCTTTAAAGATAAAGATTGAAATTGAAATCTGTAAACACAAATAAAGTGTAATAAAATAAACACTTACAGGTGAAACTCAATAAATTAGAATATCGTGCAAAAGTTCATTTATTTCCGTAATTCAAGTTAAAAGGTGAAACTAATATATTATATAGACTCATTACATGCAAAGTAAGATATTTCAAGCATTTATTTGGTATAATTTTGATGATTATGGCTTACAGTTATGAAAACCTTTTCACAATATTCTAATTTTGAATTTGGGGTTTTCATAAGCTGTAAGCCATAATCATCAAAATTATAACAAATAAAGGCTTGAAATATCTCACTTTGCATGTAATGAGTCTATATAATATATTAGTTTCACCTTTTAAGTTGAATTACTGAAATAAATGAACTTTTGCACCATATTCAAATTTTTCGAGTTTCACCTGTAAATGTGTATTTGGGATGTTATGGAAGCAAAATAGCCCAAAATCTCAACATTATGAAAACCCCAGTGCATGAAAAACAATAGTTTTGTCAAGTATATCTTGCCTTAAGAGAATAGTTTGACTCTCTTTCTCGCAGACTAAAGAGGTTCAGAGGGCCATGAACGAGAAGCGGTTTGAAGAAGCCATCCAGTTACGGGGCAGGTGAGAAGCTCTGCATGTGAACTTCATCATCATCATCATCATCATCTGTGTTAGTTAGCAGATTACCCTGCTGAGGTCAAAGTTTGAGCTGACTGATCTCCACACAAGCGAGTAATAATGAATCTAATGATACTGTTTACAGGAGTTTTGAGAACAACTGGAACATCTATAAGTTGCTGGCGTATCACAAACCTGCTGTGGTCCAGGTAACACACGAGCACTAACTCTCATTTCACAGCATTATATACAAAATTGTAAACTTTTACATTCAAATCATTTTTTTGCCACTGGTACTTATACATTTTTATTGTAGCTAAGATATCAGGGCTTATGCATCATAAAATCCTAATCTTAAAGTCAAGTCAGCTTTATTTCTATAGCGCTTTATGCAATACAGATTGTTTCAAAGCAGCCACACAGTGATAAATAACAGAATCAATGATGCTAACATCAAATATTAGACAAAGTCAAACTCTCTAAAACGACAAAAGTTTCACTATCTACAGGTGAAACTTGAAAAATTCGAATATCGTGCAAAAGTTCATTTATTTCAGTAATTCAAATTAAAAGGTAAAACTAATATATTATATAGACTCATTACATGCAAAGTGAGATATTTCAAGCCTTATAATTTTGATTATGGCTTACAGCTTATGAAAACCTTTTCACAATATTCTAATTTTTTGAGTTTCACCTGTAAGTGTCTTACTGTAACAGCATTTTTTTCCAATATTTTTGAAAAATTCCATTTAAAATGCACAGATCCTCCATTGACGTCCATTAGAAAAGAGCAGATTATTGGTGCTCAGTGAAGGGTTGGTTTGGTTATTGTCTATATTACATTATATCCTGGTTTCATGTTATTAATCTTGATCTCAGAGCAACTACTCGATGGCCATCCTGAACGTGGGCGCTCCAGCCGCCGGCATGAACGCTGCGGTGAGGTCAGCGGTGAGGGTCGGTCTGGCCTCGGGACACCGGGTTTACTTCGTCAGCGATGGATTTGAGGGTCTAGCCAATGGAGCGGTGAAGAAACATGCATGCCAATGATTTCTTTAATGATGCATTTTAATGCAGTGACTCTCAGGGCAGCTCTAGAGATGAAGTTCATGTGTTCATGTCCTCATATAGTGATGCTAGAAACACCACGAGCATCATGTGCGCTTCAGTGTGTGTGTAGTAGATGAAACTGATTCACACAGAGACACGCAGACTTTATATTTAACCCTTGTGCATTAATTCAAAAAAGCTACAACAGTGGACAAAAACATCTGTAAAAAAGGCAGATTATTGTTGAAGTAAAAAAAAGTTATAGAGGTTTAAGTTTATTAAAATGATTTATGAACAATATTTTATATAAAATATATATTTTATGAAACATGTTGAACTCTAAAACTGCTTGAAAATCAAAGCCATAAATCTAAACAAGTCGTGTTCCAAATTTGATATTGATATCTCAAAAAATGAGCTTTCAGTAAGATTTTGTTTGGGCGCAGTACACACACACACACTATGGAAGCTTGTTTTCGCCACTGAATGAAAATAAATAAATAATTGCGACATTTTATCTCACAATTGCGAGATATGAAGTCAGAATTGTGAGAAATAAAGTCGCAATTGCGAGATATAAAGTCGCAATTGTGAGAAATAAAGTCGCAATTGCGAGATATAAAGTCGCAATTAGGGATCGACCGATATGGATTTTTTAGTACCGATACCGATACCGATTTTTTTCCCATCAGCCTTAGCCGATGACCGATACGGGCTGCCGATTTTCTTGAGCCGATATTTGGAGCCGATACATTTTGCTCCCTCAATTTACATCATAAAAATGACATGATGTTAACAAATGTTACAGGTCTCAATTTAATAAAAGTAACATTTATTTAACGTAAAAAAACAATATTTAACAAATATTAAAAACATGTGAGGTAGAACAAGAACAAGTAGATAAACAATATTTAACAAATATTAAAAACATGAGGTAGAACAAAAAAAAGTTCACTGCTGAAAATAAATATTTAAGCATAAATAAAATAATTACACTATTGCACACAGTAGCAACCAGCATAATAAAGTGCACAGTGCACACTGTACTTCATTTTAAAAGTAACGAACTATTTACTGCCATGGTTTAAATTTTCTACATAAAATAAAATGAGCATGTCTAGTCTCTAATATCACTGCGATAGCGAGGGAGACACACACCACACGCGTCCAAACCTCAGCCAGGTGGTCGCTGAATAAATATCCCACAAAAAGCACGGAACAACGTTGGTATTACTTAATCCTATGACCAGTGTTCGTAACAGCTACCGTACGCATACTAGGGCTGTCAAAATTGCTCAAATGGCGTTTGTATATTCCCTCTAAAAAAACATATTTGAACATATCGTCGTGTATTTGGTCAATGACGCGCATTACGTCAATAACAGGACAAATTAATACAAAGAGACATAACTAGTAGTATTAAGTAGCTTATTTGAGTTTAAACATATTTGACAACGTATTACTACAAAAAAAACGAGTAAATCAACTAATGGCCAAGACCGCAGAGCTCACTCTGGCTCGCCCGGACTCGCAGGCGCACTCTCTCTCTCTCTCGCACTCACCCTCACGCTCTCCGCGCATACCGGTTTAAATGAACAACAACAAACAAATGTTGAGTGCTGATCAAGAGTTTTGTGCAAGCAATTTAAGGTATATAGCAGGCTTCATTCAGTGATTGAAACAAATACATTAATTGAAGTTTCACAGTACATAGAACCGACACTGAGCGCTCCGAGCGAGCTGTGCTGTAGTAACGTTAGTCTGCTACCGCGAGCGTGTTTTTCCACATTCGAATATTAATTTTCACCTTTAAAATTCAGTTTTTTTTAAACTATTCGAATATATATTCGTATTTAGAATATTCATTGACAGCCCTAATGCATACTGAACGGATAGCCTACAGCAATTTGCAGCTCCCTAAATACAATGGCAAGCAAGCAGTTTTATAGACGAGTCATTCGCGATTTCCATTTGGACCCACAAACTTGCTTAGCTATATAGTTGCAACCACATAACAGTTATAGAGCAACGTGTTTCCATTTTCAAAGTGTTTGACAATATTTCAGCAGTCAAACAGTTAAAAGATGCTTTAAAAGTTTAAAAGTTACCGTTATCTTGAAGCGCAGGTTGCACTCTGCTAGTGGGGGAGGGACAGTGCAGGGTCTGCACGAACTGCAGCGTCTCCAGCAGCACAGAGCTGCCTGTGGACGCCTGTCTATAAATAATGCCGGGAAAAAACTATCGGCGAACGCAGCAGCCGCGTATCGGCCGATTCCGATACACGTAAAAACCGCAAATATCGGCCCGATATATCGGCCGGACGATATATCGGTCGATCACTAGTCGCAATTATGAGAAATAAAGTCACAGTTGCGAGATATAAAGTCGCAATTATGAGAAATAAAGTCACATAGATATAAAGTCGCAATTATGAGAAATAAAGTCACAGTTGCGAGATATAAAGTCGCAATTATGAGAAATAAAGTCACATAGATATAAAGTCGCAATTATGAGAAATAAAGTCGCAGTTGCGAGATATAAAGTCGCAATTATGAGAAATAAAGTCACAATTGCAAATTATAAAGTCGCAATTATGAGAAATAAAGTCGCAATTGCGAGATATAAATTTGCAATTATGAGAAATAAAGTCGCAAATGCGAGAAAGTCGCAATTATGAGAAATAAAGTCGCATAGATATAAAGTCGCAATTATGAGAAATAAAGTCGCATAGATATAAAGTCGCAATTATGAGAAATAAAGTCGCAGTTGCGAGATATAAAGTCGCAATTATGAGAAATAAAGTCGCAATTGCGAGATATAAAGTCGCAATTATGAGAAATAAAGTCGCAATTGCGAGATATAAAGTCGCAATTATGAGAAATAAAGTCGCAATTGCGAGATATAAAGTCGCAATTATGAGAAATAAAGTCGCAGTTGTGAGATATAAAGTCGCAATTCTGAGAAATAAAGTCGCAATTGCAAGAAAAAAAGACAGAATTGAGACTTTTTATCTCACAATTCTGACATCTTTTCTCAGAATTGTGAGATATAAACTCGCGATTGCGAGTTATCAGGCCAATTCTAAGGGGAAAAAAGACTAACTTCTGTCCCCTCAGAATAGTTTATATTACGCAATTCTGACTTTAAATCTCGCAATTGTGAGAAAAAAAGTCAGAATTGTGAGATAAAAAGTCGCAATTACCTTTTTTATTTTTCATTCTGTGGCGGAAACAAGCTTCCATACACACTCACACACACACAATTTTTTTATTACACACATACAAACCACACTCCATACCAACACACCCACACAATTATAGCTGCTTAATTTATCCAATTGGCTTTATAATATGCATAAGCAGAAAACAGGAATAAAGCGAGTATTTGCTTTATAGGCCAAACCTGAGAAAATGGCTCCATCTGATGAAAATAGTACAAATGTACATTTTGAAGCCTTGCACAGAATGAAAGCCTCTTAACAAAGATTGCATCATTTTATAGTTAAATGGCCCTGGGATTAAAAATCGCAGTTTTAATGGGTTTCAATGAGGTCATTTTTGTCCAAAAGGCGCTGAGAGGGAGTATTTTGTGTAGTGCAACATAGATTTATAAAATGAAATGGGGGTGAAATAGTAAAATTCCAATTAAAATACACACCTGTGCCTAAATGTAACACAGTTGGCATTAACCCAGGCAAAAGGATTTCAAAATTTTCCCATTTTTATGACTGGATTTCGTCCAATCATAGGGCTCTAAAATGACACAAAAAAAAGAAGACCAATGATCCTATTATCCATAATTCCCAAATGCATACAACAAAGGAGTGCAATCCAAATGAACAAAAAAAATAAAACAAAAAATATAAAAGGGGTTAGTAGTATAATCTCTTTCTGTTATTTGGAAAGAACAATAGTTATAATTATATTAATATGAATGAAATCGTAACTTTTTTTTTAGGTAAATGAAGTGTCGTGGAATCAGGTGGCCGGCTGGACGGGTCAGGGCGGCTCTCTGCTGGGAACTAAACGGTCAGTCACCTTTAAAAACCAGTGCATTTTTCACTGGCTAATTTCACTAATTTAATCCCAGCGTTGTGACCCTCTCTGTTCTCCAGGACCCTGCCCAGCACCTGCATGGACACACTAGTGGAAAACCTCAACAAGTTCAACATCCAGTCACTGTTTGTCGTCGGAGGTTTTGAGGTACAGAAAATGTTCATGCAAACTAATAGAGCTGACACTTATTCTATCTAATGTGTTTCTTTGTTCTTCAAAGAGCTTGCTTTGTTGTTTCAACAAGCATAACTTTTTGTAGTAATATTGATCTTTTGTGTATTTAAAAAAATATATGTATAATTTTTTTTTTGTAAATTTTTTATTTTTATTCCGGTACCTTTATGTTTATATGATTTTTTAATTTTCCTTTTGTGTTCATTTAGTAAAAATCTAAAAGTGTCACTGTCTTTTTCTTTTTACTAGTGCTGATTTTGATGTAAACAATTAGTATGGATTTTGTAACAATAGCTGTACTATCCAGATTATGGGGGGCAATTTTCAAGGGGGGTAAAAAAATCATTGTTTTTACATTTTTGATATTTATTGAATACTGTCAAAATTTTTAGATAAAATTTGAATATTTTTGCTGTATCGCTCAGCCCTATTTCCAACCTGTATTATCTTTCATGCAACGCAAATTTAAAGGGATAGTTCACCCAAAAATGAAAACTCTGTCAGTAATTACTCTCCCTCATGTTGTTCAACCCCGTAAGACTTTCATCTTCAGAACACAAATTAAGATATTTTTGATTAAATCTGAGAGCTGGATCAGTCCTCCATAGGCCACTGTAGTCACTCGGACTATTTTAACGATGTCTTTAATAACTTTTCTGGGCCGGCAAGTTTCAATCCCATAGAAGCCTATGGAGGAGTGATCCAGCTCTCAGATTTAATCAAAAATATCTTAATTTGTGTTCTGAAGATGAACGAAAGTCTTACGGGGAACAACATGAGGGCGAGTAATTACTGACAGAGTTTTCATTTTGGGGTGAACTATCCCTTTAAGTTTTCAATTCAACAACAAAAAAGTCCGCGCTGCACTTTATGATATCTGACTGTACTTTCGGTCGTGTCCAGGCGTATGAGGGCGTACTGGAGTTGGTTGAAGCGAGGGGCCGTTATGATGAATTATGTATTCCCATGTGCATCATCCCTGCCACCATCAGCAACAACGTCCCAGGCACTGAGTTCAGTCTGGGCAGCGACACTGCGGTTAATGCAGCGATGGCCGTAAGTACAGCACTCACCACACTCACATAAACATCAGGGCTGTCACTTTACGTTCGAAAATCGATTGCACAATCGATCGGACCAACCAACACAAGTTTCGATTTGAACGGCCTTTTTTTTACTTTTTTTTTTTTTACCAAAAATGTGTTTTATGTGGACAGATCAATACAGCACACAGAACATGTAGGGTGTTGGAAAATAATAATGTCTTTTCTGTTAACCAAATGCTTTTTAATATTCGCTATTACTTCAATGCAAGTGAACAAGCACGCCGTTATTTGTTGTGTAGTGACGTGTGTGTTCAAGCCAGATATAAGCAGATTCTGCGCAACACTGTATTTAATATATCATGAGGATCACGAGTTGAGGATTTGGGCTAAATCCGCACAGATTTGTCTTACACGAACTTCCCCAGCAAAGTGAGTAAACACAGAAACACGCCAGATTGGCTCGTGATTTGACAGCGTTTCCCGCCAAAGTTCATTTTTACCCGCATTTGGCGGATCGAGGGTGTTAATCTCAATCCCTGAATGTTGCGCTCCTGTTTGTCATTGTGCTGAAACTTCACGCCAATAAATCATCAGAAATATCGCTGACTTGTGCGTCTCAAGCGCCCTCTTTACGCTCGTCCTAATGCCTGTTAGGTGTCCGTGGATTTGCCTATATTTGGCGTTGAAAATGAAAACGTCTTTAGACATGGAAAACCGATTTTACAATCGATTCAATGAACACTTATGTCTCAAAAATCAAACAGGATTTTTTCACAAAAGTGACAAAAATTCTCTTTTAGATTTACTCTTATTGGCACATGTATTTCACTAAATGTAAATGTGACTTGGAAGAAATTAAGAAGACAAGAAAATATTGTGGCTCTGTTTCCAAACCTAGTGAGCTGCATATACACGATAGACGATTTTGCTAGGGTACGTCTGTAAACATTTATTTTGCATCTGTATTTTTGAGAGTTGTGTCAGGATTTCCATTACACGAGAGTAGATGTTAAAACTTCATGCTGATTTGTACTCGGCTTTCGCCAAGATAAGCAAAACTAAGACGTAGCTTTACAGTAAACTATGCTTCTCCATCCATTTACGCTTCTTTCCATAAGGTAGTGTGACTCCCCTTCTGTCCGGCGTTAACGGCAGCAGTGTACTTGGCGCGTTAGCGCACGCGACGGCTGCAACTACAGGACCAGCACGACAACCGTCTGGATTGAACCGAGTAGGGGACATCTCTAGGGTCTTCAAGTGGGCACCTTCCGTCCTCAGTGTTTCGTCGACTAGCCCACGACACCTCAAGAGGGCTCGACAGTGACTCTGGCGTCCCAGAGTCACCCCCCTCCGTCCCCCACTCATCTCAGCCCAGCTTACTGACCTCTACATCCCTCCTGCTGCTGAGACCTAACCACAATCTCACAATCTCTCCGCGACCCAACCATACGCGCCAACCCGTTGACTAAGGCTGTCGAGCCCCACTGGTGCGTTAATATGCAGTTTCAGTGGACAACGGTTCCGTATGGCATACCACCTACCGCAAAACACAATATCTACCCAACCACCCGTCATTCACGCAATATACACAGGAACGTATACAAACAAACCAACAGACTCTTCAAGTTTTAAAGAACTCTACGAAACCGTAGCGTGGCGGCCTGTACACAGCCAGCTAGAATCTTTCCGTCTCAACCACAGCCAGTTGCTGCTCCTTTCTGCTGCTTCAGATAAGTTCTTTACTGTGCGACGCAACTCTTGGCCACTGAATCCGACGTCTCTGAGGAACCGGGTTGTAGAGTGTGCCACAAAACCTCGACAACCCACTTCCACTGGATAAACCTGGACTCTCCATCCTCGCTGTTCTGCTTCAGTGGCCAGATGAGCATACCGCAGTTTCTTCCTCTCATATGCCTCATCTACCGCATCCTCCCATGGCACTGTTAACTCTATCAGTTGAACAATGCGTGCTGATCCAGACCACAAAACAATATCTGGTCGTAGGTTAGTGGTGGTAATCTCAGGTGGAAAAATAAGCCGTTGGTCAAGATCAGCCAGCATCTTCCAGTCCCTAGCAGCTTCCAGTTGTCCTGGGCGAGAATTGGTGTTAACACCTTTTCTTGGTGGTTGCTCGCCTGGGCGGAGGAATATTGTCTTCTGCGTGTAATGTTTTGCTAGAACAGGTGGCAACTTATTGGTCATGTTACGCTTGCCTTCTAATGCTAAAGCCAAACATCGCAGTACTTGGTCATGGCGCCAAGTAAACCGACCTTGGCTAAGAGCCACCTTACATCCTGTCAAAATGTGCCTTAATGTGGCAGGTGATGAACACAAAGGACAAGAGGGATCCTCTCCTACCCAGAGGTTTAGGTTCTGCGGTGATGGGAGAACATCATATGTTGACCTAATAAGGAAACTGATCCTACTCTCTTCCATTGACCAAAGGATTACATTGTCAGAATTACAATGTTTCAGAGAATCGATTGTTCTGTCTCCCAACCCTACATCCATAGAGCAACATGTGCACAACACATGCTCTTAGTGTAGCGCTGTGTCAGATGCCTAATGCTAAAGCAGCATTGCATGTGCAGTTAACTTTATGGTCAAGGCAATCCCATAATGCATCACGAGTGAGACAAAATCAAGTGAGATATCAGTGAAAATATAGAAAGAATCAATAAAAAAACATACAATTTCAACTAATATGTACAGGTGAAACTCGAAATATTAGAATATCGTGCAAAAGTTCATTTATTTCAGCAATTCAACTTAAAAGGTGAAACTAATATATTATATAGACTCATTACATGCAAAGTGAGATATTTCAAGCCTTTATTTGTTATGATTTTGATGATTATGACTTACAGTTATGAAAACCCCAAATTCAAAATTAGAATATTGTGAAAAGGTTTTCATAAGCTGTAAGCCATAATCATCAAAATTATAACAAATAAAGGCTTGAAATATCTCACTTTGCATGTAATGAGTCTGTATAATATATTAGTGTCACCTTTTAAGTTGAATTACTGAAATAAATGAACTTTTGCACAATATTTTAATTTTTTACGAGTTTCACCTGTATATGTCCTGGCTTGCAACTTCAAGGTCATGGGTTTGATTCCCAAGGAATGCATGAACCGATACAATGCAAAATACTGTATATGCAATAGAAATCGATTTGGGTAAAACCATCAATGTGGAATTTAAAAATAAATGTATTTTTATGCTTATTAGAGTACTAGGTTTTGAAACCAAGCTTGTATCTGAAAAGCTTGTGTACACCTGCCAAATTGGACTTCCTTATATGCAGAAGCTATACATAAAGATGCCGTTTGGCTGCATCCGTTGTGCATTTTCTGATGTGAAGCTGGTCTGTGTTTCATGAAGAGCTGTGATAAGATCAAGCAGTCGGCCACAGGGACCAAGCGGAGAGTGTTTGTGGTGGAGACTATGGGTGGATTCTGTGGTTATCTGGCAACCACCACAGGCATCGCTGTCGGAGCGGACGCCGCTTACATCTTCGAAGATCCTTTCAACATCCATGACCTCAAGGTAGGGCTGTGCGATATGTATCGTCTATGATAGTATCATAATTATTGTTTTAACCATGTGCCAGCTGATATTGTGGAGTCTGTTACTCTCAAAACAGGCATTGAGAGTGCATTTCAATGGCATAATCATTTTATAAAACAGTTTAATATACAATAAGATAACATTTCCCAACGCTCCACATCTACACATGGAAGAATAAACACTGTTTTGTTGTCGGTGTGTCACTTCTTTTAGACCAATGTGGAGCATTTGACGGAGAAAATGAAGAAGGACATTCAGAGAGGTCTGGTGCTGAGGTAATGAGTCCGTCTGTGCAACACATACGGCACATTTTAGGTTCCTAAATTATTTTACAATAATCTAAACCAGTGGTTCCCAACCTTTTTTTGTCTGAGACCCCCTTTTTCCCAAGAAAATATTTTAGGGCCCCCCTTCACATTTAATGATATTATCGCTCTTGTAAGCTTGCAGCAAGGATGACAAAATATGTTTTTTTTTTTAAACAAACGGTATGTTTATGCACAAATAATAGCCTATAATATTGAAAATACAATAACAAAAACATCAGTAGGCCCTTTGTAATTTAAAAACGTAAGCCTAGGAGAAGCCTATATATCGGCCCTATTTGAAATGCAAAAACAAAAATATTCACAGTGGTGTGTAGGTAAAAAAAAGACAGAATAAAGGCTATTACTAAATGACTGTTGTCTGGGGCCTCAATACTTGCATGTTATTTGTGAGGCTTTATCAATGTGAGGCTTTATTTGTTTTAGCGAGCGATAATAAACCTGCGTTTATTAACAGTATAATGCGTCTTTCGGAAGAACATTGTAGCCGGAACTACTTCTCTCAGTGTACGTCTATGACGAGTCACGCAGGCACTGGGCTACTCCGCAGCGGCAGCGATCCGAACCAGTGGAAAATAGTCCCAATGTAAACACTTATTATAGGTGTACCATAGTGCTTCAGGATAAGACAAAAACACGGATTGGAAAATGGATTCATGATGAACTCGCTCATTATATACATTTTGTACATTTTGAACAGAAAAAAGTTAAGGACTTTTATTTAATGTTCATTGCTCAAACCTTTCAAAATATGATGCGACCCCCCACAGAGCAACTTTAATTTTTATGACAGATATTTCATGCCAATTTCCCAGGAAGTGACTATTTTGTTGAACATATGGCATGGAAATGGTGGCTGCATCTGAAATTGCACACACACAGAACAGACATCTTGCAAATATTCACAAAATTGTTTGCTTGGGTGTTGATTTCAATTTTCAACAGCGTTTCTCAGAAATCTCTTAGGCCGTGTGTCCACCAAAGCATTTCTTTCACGCGGCTTGCGTATTTTTTAAATTGTTTTCCATAGGAGCGCCGCGTTATTTAAAACGCCACGAGCGTAACGAGGCGCTGAGTGTTTTTTTTACGCTGAAGTGCTTAGCGTTCGCCGTTTTTTACAGGTCGCCGAGAGTTGAAGAATGTTGAACTTTGGGTAAAACGCAGCGCTTATCACTGTCACTTTTTACCCAGCCGTCCAATCACAGTGGAGGAGGGGCGGGGCTAATACCACACCGACCAACTGTCACAACATTCTTTCCGTACAACGACATCAACCAGCAGAGCTAACCGAACAACATGGATGAAAAATACATTTAGTATGAAACATATTATCTGTGAAATCAGTTACAAGTAAACTGTGCTGCGGATATTCTGTATCATAGCAACGAAACGTCTCAACTGCAAAAACGCTCTCAAGCGCCCACAGCTAGGCGTTTTCAGCAGAGCGTCTAGTGTTTTCAGCCGGCTAAAAACGCTTTGGTGGACACACGGCCTAACTGCACCTTTAATGACATTGGGTCTCATTCATTGGGTAAAGAGACCTTCCCGAAAACTCGTAAACGTCAGATGTGATAGTGAAATGTGTGTGTGTGTGTTAATGAATTCCAATCAGTCGTAAATGGGACACGCGTGCACGTTCATTCTCAATTACCATAAATCCCGCCCATCAAATCCGACTGACAACTATATATGGGCATCACATCATGCGAATGAAAAAAAATAATTTCTCAGATGCAGAAATTGAAGTTTTATTATCAGAAGTTCATTCAAAACGCCACATTTTATTTTCAAGCGTACATAGTGGCGTATCGGGTCCTAAAAAAAGGAAGCTTGGCAGCATATTACAGATGCAGTTAATGGAGTTTCATCTGTTAATCGAACATTCCCAGAAGTGAGAAGAAAATGGTTCGACATTAAGCTTGAGAGCAAAAAACGAATTAGCTCACTTCGGAAAAATAGTATTCAAACTGGAGAAGGACCACCATCACAGATGCTATTACTGGCTCTCATAATAAGAAAAACCGTATGTAATTACTATATATAATATTTTTTTTCAAAATGCTGTGCAAATATGTACCCAATTAAGGTGACTTAAAATGCTGCCTTATTAATGAGCAAAACGTTCGGGTGTTAAGCGCACTATTTACGCGTGGCTGGGAGCAGGTGTAGATTTCTTGTGTACCAACTAACATTTGGAAAATACGAACATTTTAATGAATCCGAAAATTTACGCCAGAACCACTTTACACACGATTTACACAAAAATTCGTTCTGCTCGTGTTTCATGAATGAGACCCATTGTGTGTAAAACTGCTCTGTTCACAGGAATGAGAAATGCCATGAGCAATACACCACTGATTTCATCCATAAGCTCTACTCGGCAGAGGGCAAAGGCGTCTTCGACTGCAGGGTCAATGTCCTGGGACACCTGCAGCAGGTACAGGCGCAACTTCCCAATTTAACAACTAATAAAGTGACATCTCTTTCAGAATCTCTATGCATCCTATAAATTATCTTAAAAATCACCTGCTTTTCAAATCGTAACGCACGTCATAGTCGATTCACACACAAATACTGTGTCAAAGAGCCTAATTAGGGTTAGGGTTTCGAATTAGTTTCAATATATGTTATTTCTTGCAACTAAACAGCTATTCATATGATATTTAAAAAACCTGTAATGCATCAAATATTTAGGATCGGCATTGTTTTGATTTCAAAACATGCATTCATTATAATAGTGCAAATTTCATCTGAACAGTTTTTCATGGATTAGTTCATATTAGTTAATACATTAGCTGATCAGTTAATCAGAATTGTTAGTTCATGTTAGCTCAGATCCATTAAATAATATTAACAGATACAGCTTTGGATTTGTAATAGTGCATTAGTAAATGCATTGCAATGAAATTAACATTAACTGAGATTTTTAAACACTTTAGAAGCATTTTTCTTTGTTAATAATTGGAATCTTATTGTAAGTGTTATCAGATTTTTCATCGATTTCTTAAAGTATAATTATGTTGCATTATTAAACGATTTAGGAGTGACATTGTAACATTGGGGTTTGGCTCTGCTGAAAGAAAAGCAGTTTTTCTGATGATGTTCCTCTGGTGTTTATAGGGTGGAGTGCCGACACCGTTTGACAGAAACTACGGCACTAAACTGGGCGTCCGAGCCGTGCAGTGGCTGACAGACAAGATGGTCGACAATTTTAAACTAGGTGAGAGGATGTTTAAAACTAAATATATCTGTACAAAATCAAATATTTCTGACTCTGATTTTACATCAGGTGAGAGTTTTGGACATAAAATAACTAATGGAGGGCTTGCGTTTTTGTGTTTTCCTGCTGAAGTCAATGATATTTAGTCACATGACAGAACTAATTGTGAGCAGCAGTTTAAAGGGTTAGTTCACCCAAAAATGAAAATGATGTCATTAATGACTCTCCCTCGTGTCGTTCCAAGCCCGTCAGACCTCCGTTCATCTTCAGGACACAGTTTAAGATATTTTAGATTTAGTCCGAGAGCTTTCTGTCCCTCCATTGTAAATGTGTGTACGGTATACTGTCCTTGTCCAGAAAGGAAATAAAGACATCATCAAAGTAGTCCATGTGACATCAGTGGGTTAGTCCATGTGACATCAGTGGGTTAGTCCATGTGACATCAGTGGGTTAGTTAGAGTGTGTTGAAGCATCGAAAATACATTTTGCTCCAAAAATAACAAAAACTAGGACTTTATTCAGCATTGTATTGTCTTCCGGTTCTTTTGTGGATCCGCGTTCACGAGTCCGCAGTGACGCCGCTGACGTGTGTCTGGTGTGTGTGTGTGTGTGTGTGTGTGTGTGTGTGTGTGTGTGTGTGTGTGTGTGTGTGTGTGTATTCCGGTTCTGTTGTGGATCCGCGTTCAGTGCCGCTGCTGACGTGTGTCTGGTGCGTCCAAGCTTCGTTTACAGTCTGAGGGAGACGCACGCTGGAAACTAAACAATCTTCGCAAACATGTCTAAGGTTTGCCACACAGCATTTTTTTGCCCAGCCATATTTATTTGAACCCGAATACACGGGCCCACCAGACACACGTCAGCGGCGGCACTGAACGCGGATCCACAACAGAACCAGAATACACACACACACACACACACACACACACCAGACACACGTCAGCAGCGTCTTACGTCAGCAGCGGCACTGAACGCGGATCCACAACAGAACCAGAATACACACACACACACACACACACACACACACCAGACACACGTCAGCAGCGTCTTACGTCAGCGGCGGCACTGAACGCGGATCCACAACAGAACCAGAATACACACACACACACACACACACACCAGACACACGTCAGCAGCGTCTTACGTCAGCAGCGGCACTGAACGCGGATCCACAACAGAACCGGAACACACACACACACACACACACACACACACACACACCAGACACACGTCAGCGGCGTCTTACGTCAGCAGCGTCACTGAACGCGGATCCACAACAGAACCGGAACACACACACACACACACACACACACACACACACCAGACACACGTCAGCAGCGTCTTACGTCAGCAGCGGCACTGAACGCGGATCCACAACAGAACCGGAACACACACACACACACACACACACACACCAGACACACGTCAGCAGCGGCACTGAACGCGGATCCACAACAGAACCGGAACACAATACAATGCTGAATAAAGTCCTAGTTTTTGTTATTTTAGGACCAAAATGTATTTTCGATGCTTCAACACACTCTAACTAACCCACTGATGTCACATGGACTAACCCACTGATGTCACATGGACTAACCCACTGATGTCACATGGACTAACCCACTGATGTCACATGGACTAACCCACTGATGTCACATGGACTAACCCACTGATGTCACATGGACTAACCCACTGATGTCACATGGACTAACCCACTGATGTCACATGGACTACTTTGATGATGTCTTTATTTCCTTTCTGGACAAGGACAGTATACCGTACACACATTTACACTGGAGGGACAGAAAACTCTCGTACTAAATCTAAAATATCTTAAACTGTGTTGTGAAGATGAACGGAGGTCTGACGGGCTTGGAGCGACACGAGGGAGAGTCATTAATGACATCATTTTCATTTTTGGGTGAACTAACCCTTTAAACTTTAGGTTTTTGCAGAAGATGAAAAGACTGTGAGTAAAGCCAGTGTGTTTGTGTCTGTCAGGTCGTGTGTTTGCTAACAACCCAGACACGGCCTGTGTGATCGGCCTGTATAAGAAGGTTTTGACCTTCAGTCCCGTCACTGAGCTGAAGGACCAGACCGACTTTGTGTGAGTGACTCTAACAATCACACACACTACACCAGGGGGGACGTCGGGTTGATTGGGACACCTTTTCCTAGTCATATCAAGAGCAGAAAGTGTCTTAATCAACCTGACGTCACAGGTACTTCTTTCACAACCAGTTGTGCAGTCATAAAATCGTAACGGTTGATTTAAGCAAAGATATACTCAATTTAAAATGTTTTTTTCCTCATTTAAAAAATGTACACTTTTGAAAGATGTTGAAAAATGATACATATTCTGATGAGATGGAGGAAATGCTGCTTTATTCTGTCTGGAGAAGATGAGATGACCTGCTGTGTCAAGTTGCTACTACTCACTTTAAAAGATGGATATAAAGTCATGGCAACATCGAAATAATTTGAACAACTGCAACAAACATTTTTTTTAAGTTATGCATGAATCAGGTAGACAAAATTTAAAAAACAAAATGAGTGAAAAGTCAACTTAAAAATTTAAGGCAGCAACCGAACTGAAGTTTTTAAGCTGAATTAGGGGGATTTTTTATAATAATGTGTAATAATAACACTTCATATAATTCTTTTCCAGTTCTCAAGGCATTTCACACGGCTGCATCAAACCATACTTTACCAATGCATAATGACAAGTCTAACTAGTATCAGCAGGCCCGCCGACAGGGGGGGACAAACGGGTCTGTTGTCCCGGGCCCAGGGTAGGGAGGGGGGCCCAGAACTGGGCCCTCATTAAATTATGGAATAATTGTAAAAAAATAATAATAAAAAAATAGGCATATTTGTTGAAAAAATATCTAATATTTGAGTTACATAAAAGCTTTTTATTCGTTTTCTTCCTAATTGTCCTTGAAATAGTGGTCAAGAACCCCCGCCCCCCCCCCCCAAACAAAAATGGTTTGGCCACTGATCGAAATATGATGTTGTCATTTGATTTGAAGTTCAGTAGGCTAACGTTACGCTCAAAATGTCAGCACAAGTCCGGTGCTCAGAAAAGAAAAGAGAAGAAGAAAATAGAGGACTTCGAGATGCCCTAAACAAATATTTTTAAAAAGGTGGTGACGGTGAAGCTGGAACTAACCTTAGTAAAGTCAACGTAGAGCAAGGTAAGAAACAGCGCAGCCAACGTTTATGAGTGTTGTCAAAGACCCGGCACTTCGGTACCAAGTCGGTACAAATTTCTTTTTAAACGTCACGCCACGGTACCAGGTTTTCTCAAACCCGGGATGCGCGTGCATGCCCAAAGCGCGTGCAGTTGCGTCCTCTTCATAAAAGCGCTGAGACATGGCGACCGGCGGTGCTGCTGCTGTGGTGGCTGTAAATCCATTTGTTGATAAGAAAGGAGGAAAGAGCCACATATGGAAATATTTTGGATATTAGCTCATAATAATAGCGACGCGGCGCGCTCGTTTTTACAGGCGCGCCTAAGTTCATTGTTGCATAGCAACGACAGACGCCACGGGAGAGCAAACGCTTGTGGAAAGGAGAAAGCGGTGCGAACTGCGCTCTCTATGATGACGAGGAAGTATTAGCAAAGAATTCATTGATTTCTAGCCCTTGGATTAGCTTTACTACTATTTATGGAGATGAGAAATAAAAAGCCGGCTGAAATGCATCACTGTCATCATCGGTGAACAGATAATGGGCCAGATCCGAGTCTATTTTTGCTGTGCTGCTCATGCTTAAAAGTGAAAGCACACTTTTGATTGACAAAAAATAAATATGATTTCACACTAAAAGTGCCCAAAATGCACAGATTATGCATCTCTAGTGTGTTTTAACAAGAACTGCAGTAGGCTATGTCAGAAAAGAAAATGAAGACATTTATAGAAAATGTACCCATTTAAACGTGTTTTTATTATTCATTTTGGGTAAAAGTATATGGTGTTTTATAAAAAATAAAAAAAATCTTGGGGGGGGCCCATCTAAGATTATCTTGTCCCGGGCCCAGGCAAGACTGTCAGCTGGCCTGAGTATCAGACAGGGTAACACTTTACAATAAGGTTCATTAGTTAACATAAACTAAGAATGAACAATACTTCTGCAGCATTTATTAATCTTAGCTAATATTACCTTCAACATTTACTAATACGTTATTAAAATCAAAGGTTGTATTTGTTAAGTAAGGGTTAATGCCCGACGAGGTGTCCATTGTCAGGAATTAATGGACGACGGTGAGGCGTGAACCCGCTTATACCACGGTCACTTGCCAAATAACAAATTTTTAAAACATTAGTTTATATTTTAATTAGTTTTGCAATCGAAATCTAAAGTTTTTACAAACAATAACTTGCTTTCCCTGGTTACGCCTGACGGTTTATTTAGCAACCGGAGATATCTATCCGGAGAACCCTTCAGTTTAGCTAACTTACGAGCAATAAAGTTAACGTATTCTTTTTTCATGTAAGTTAGGCTTGTCTAGCCATGGGCATTACACTTTAGTTTTTTTAAACCTATAATTAAAACACACAGGTAGGCGTAGTGTAGGCTAACTAGATGTTTGTTTTGATACAATAAATTGTAACCGGATACTTTGACTGCCTGTTGCTATGGTTACTCACAGCTGATGTAGCCAGCGCATTTATTTATTAATTTCAAACGGTAAACAGTCAGTTTCGCCAGAACTCCTTTACTAGGAGTCCTCTATCACTTTTTAATGGACACCCTGCAGCCAATCAGAATCGAGTATTCACCCAGACCATGGTATAACATTAGTTGATGCACTGTGAACTAACATGTAAGGAATAATTGACGACAGGCCAATCGAATTATTAGAAAAATAATGCACACCCGAGGTGGTAATGTGGTCACGACGCGAAGCGGAGTGGCCGTTACACCTCGGGTGTGCATTATCAATTATTCCGCTTATACTACAGTTACCACACCCCGAAACATTGTTCAGATGATGCATTTCAAGACGTTTGTCAGGTTTTTGTCATTAAAACGCTCTTGTATGTAGGACTAATTTCTTACGCATCTAATCCCACGCCTCCGTTGCTAATTCCAAAACGTCATTTTAGATTTAGTAACGGAGGTTTGAGCCACTGATTGCAGACTAATGATGGGGACACACTTATGACTCGCTGAAACATTCGAAGACTGACTGTTTCCATCGACTGTAGCAGGTCTTAAAGGAGTAGTTCACTTTAAAAAAAACTTTTGCTGATAATTTACTCACCCCCATGTCATCCAAGATGTCCATGTCTTTCTTTCTTCAGTCGAAAAGAAATTAAGGTTTTTGATGAAAACATTCCAGGATTTTTCTCCATATAATGCACTTTGCTGGGCACCAAACGGTCCAAGGTCCAAGAGACAGTTTCAGTGCAAACTGCAAACTGTTCAAAGGGCTTTAAACGATACCAGACAATGAATAAGGGTCTTATCAAGCGAAACGATCGCTCATTTAAAAAATAAATAACAAAGTTTAAGTTTTATAAGCTCAAATGCCCGCCTTGCTCATTTCTGTGATGCACGTTCGTGACTCTCCTGTTCGAACTCGTTCATCAAAATGAACAAATCTTTTTTTTCGAGTCATTTGATTAATTTAACGACCGAAATGAACGAATTGACTCGGAAAAAGATTTGTTCATTTTGATGAACGAGTTCGAACAGGAGAGTCACACAGAACAGAGCAAGGCCAGCATGTGTGCTTATAAAAAAATGAGCGATCGTTTCGCTTGATAAGACCCTTATTCATCGTCTGGTGTCATTTAAAACCATTTGAACAGTTTGCAGTTTGCACTGAAAATGTCATTTAGACCTTGAACCGTTTGGTACCTAGTAAAGTGCATTATATGGAGAAAAATCCTGGAATGTTTTCATCAAAAACCTTAATTTCTTTTCGACTGAAGAAAGAAAGACATGGACATCTTGGATGACATGGCGGTGAGTAAATTATCAGCACTAGTTTTTTTTTAAAGTGAACTACTCCTTTAAACACAGACTGTGAATAGGCTACAGACTGAACGCGCTGAACACGCGTTTGGGCATGATCAGTCATAAGTATCAAATTACATTCATAACTGGCCTAAGTCAGTGTGTCCCGGCTTTATGCAGTTATTAATGCCGTTATTAGAGAGAGAGAGATGTTGCAATAATGAGACAGAAAAGCATGTGCGTCAATATTATTATTTATTTATTAATTAAATTTGTTTTAATTAATTCGTTCATTCTTGTTTTCTATAATTGACAGTAGATAACCCAATAAATGAAACACACAAAGCCCTTTTAACAAGTAGGCCTATCAATAGTTATTTATTTGTTATATTATCTGGAATAATTACGAAAACCCAGCAGGACTATCAATTTATTTATATAGCCTATTCAATTTAATTTTCTACTTTATTTATTAAAATTAAACTGTATGTGTCCATTGATTGTGAAGTTAGACATCGAAAATGGCAGATCAAGCGCATGGGCTGCATGTTTTTTCTTGTTATGAATTGTATCCTATTTTCCGTTATTACAGTTAACTACGCGCAGTGATATGGAACTGTAATGCGGTCAAACCTGCCTGGAACTACTTTAGCCGTGCGTTTCCCTAAAAATAATTGCACACCTTAGAACGTTCTCAACCAATCAGAATCAAGCATTCAACAGCCCTGTAGTATAAGAACCAACAATGAACAGCTGTATTTTATTAATTAACATCAACAAAGATTAATAACTACTGTAACACATGTATTGCTCATTGTTAGTTCATGCTAGTTAATACATGAACTAATGTTAACTAGTGAACCTTATTGTGAAGTGTCACCGGTCTCAGTAAGCAGTTTCTCTCGCCCTGCAGACACCGGATGCCCAAGACTCAGTGGTGGCTGAATCTCCGGCTGATGCTGAAGATGTTGGCAAAGTACCAGACGTCCTTCAACGAGTACGTGACGGGAGAGATCGAACACGTGACCCGCCGCTCTCTCAGCATAGACACCGGGTTTTAAAGCAGTCCCATCCTCCAACCAACTCCCGACTGCCACTCCTCCGTTAAAACAGGTGAACGCCTGATGCTTTAGTGAGTAAAGGAGGGTACGACTCTAGATTAGTGCCTAAACCTGATCCTCTTCTCCATTGGAGGCCTGTATTTGCACCATCTTTATGCTGGACTGATGCAGAGTGTCCAAAACTAGATCACTCCCAGTGTAATTAATATATTATTTACATTAATCCGGGTACTTTTTAAACTGCGTTTTCTTTTCTAAACACTCTCCGTCCGCACTGAAATGTCTGAAAACTAGGGGTGTAACGCTCCCTCATGTCACGATTCGATATTATTGCGCTACTCCAAGACATATGATAAAAGGTTAACAAAACATTTACTGTTGATTAAAATGCTAATTTTGGTATTACATTGTGTGTAAATGAATAGGCTTGGTGCTGGAAACCCAAAGCAATAGAGACACCAGAATAACAATATTCATGATTCTGAAGATGAAAATACAGAATTATTTTAGACGAATATGCTTGCACTCTGTCACTGACTAGATAATATATTTAAAATAATAATATATTTAAACTTTTTACTGGTAACATCAGACATTTGGCATTATCGGGACCCACAAAAATTCCCCCATTGCATTTTTATACATTATATTCAACATTATATGCAGTAGTTTAATGTAGTACTGACACTAAAACTCTGGAAACTTGAATTTTTTCTCACACAGTAATTTTTATTTTGGGTGAACTATACACAGTATATATTGTCACTATCATACATATTGTTGCATTTTTGTATTGCGATATATTGTTACACCCCTACTGAAAATGCTTAAATCATCTTACTGTGTATGCATTAAACGTAAAAGCTCACTGAGATGATACCGAGAGACCAAATGTTATAAATTCCTCAAGCTATTATTTTATTTGCAAAATATCCAGGTCACACTCGATCGCCATTCCATGTTTGGTCTAAAACACAATTTTCTGTACATTTTCTGTCATATTTGCAGGAATGTAATATGAAGATTGTACAAACTAACATTTATTTTTAACAACATGGAAGTAAATATCAGGCGCAATAAACCCGGTACAACCATAGATACTGTATCTATCAGTATAATATGCATCATGACTAAACATGCATGGTTTTCACAGTTCACACTACAAACTAATGCACTTAAATGCATAAAGCTCAGTTTTAGCAGGACAAAAACACGTCTCAGTGAAAGGACTAAACTTAGAGAACACACTGCACACGTCTGTTTCCGCTTGATTAATGTTAACTAATATAATATGCGTGAATCTATTGCTATAAATTACATTTTTTATATATATTTGAACCACTTTAGACCATTTCATCAAAGCCAGCTCGTGATGTTTCTGGTCTTCTAATTAAAATCCCCTTGTTGTTAACTATATGTATACACAACTGTGGCAATGTAAAGTTATTTTGCGGTTGAAAAACAACTAATGCAAAGTATTTTCCTTGTGCAATGCAACACCAGTCACTTTCAGTGTAGACGGCCACTGTTTTATTCTTTATACTAAACTGCTGCTGTTAGTTGTTCAACGTTTCTGCAGAATGTACTGTTTATGTCCTGGCAAATGTTTATTCCAGCAGCTGATGAAGTACATCACGAGCAGGTAAAGCTGGAGATTGTGATTGTTAAACATTTGAACAGGTGATTTGTGTCTGAGATTCAGTGTTGTGTCTGTGATATTGTGTGCCTATGCAACGTGATTAATGTGAAGCAATAGATAGTTGTAGTGCAGCATGTTTCACATCTCCAGTATTTAATGCTCTACATTGAAAATTCTAGAAAATATTCGCTATAATGAACCAGGTATGAGTTTAGATAAAACAGGTGAATGAAAGTTAAAGTTTTTTTTTTTTTTTTTTTTTTTGCATTGTGACATTATTTTCATACACACTAACATAATGTTAACATTGCAGTATTAAGAATGAGATTTTCTTTTGTTTAATTGTCATGACAATGTCACAATGCAAAAATCATAAAGATAAATTTTTCATTTTAGTTTTGCAAAATGTAATTTTTCTGCTGATTTAGGGGGTTAAACATGGCCTGCTTTGACCAGTGTGATAAACTGCTTAGACTATAGTCATCTGTGGCCGGTTGTGTAAACGGCTTGGCTAAGGCTAGTCTTAAAAATTAGTTGTATAATTGTATTCTTCGAGACTGGTCCTAACTTTTAAAGTCAAGAGACATAAAAGTTAGATCAGTTTAATGTGAATTGGATATCTTAATCTAACTGCTAGTTGTTCACTAGTTCTTAAGGTAATCTTAACATAGTGACTGTGTTTATGCAACTGGACAGGTTTTGTGACCATTTCAAACTTCCATGTTTTGCAGATTTTCGTATTACTGTCAATAACTATGAAATGGTTATTTTACTGAAATCTACACCAGTGTACAGTAAATGATTCAGTTTATGTCTGTAAATGTAAGCCATCACAATCTAACATGTAAATGATGAATGGCATATTAAAAGGAATGTAGTGTCATTTAATAAAAAAACAAACATATATTACATCTATAATAAACTAAATATATTTAAAATACCTTGCTGTGTTGTAAGTAGAGGGAAAGCAATTCAAAATAGACTTTTTCAGTGTTGTTATATTTTCAGTAACAAATACATTTAATGAGAAGAACATTCAAACCATACCTTTAATTTTCTATTAATTATAATGCATGCATTGAAGTATAAGCATATATTGAAATGATCTCTGTGAATAAGTTATTTTGAATCATGTTGAGCAAACTAAAATTGCAGCAGTGAACAAAAGGAGCAGAATCAGAAACTCTGCAATAAATATTGCCTATAAGTATAGAATGTAACGTCAACAGACATTTGAACACATCTCTGAAGTACAGCTATATGGATCAGATTTATGTTTATGAAGTTATAATTTCCCAAAGTTGAATGAAAAGGGGAAGGAATCAGCAGGTCCTGAAGTGTCCCGTGTGGATGAGCTTTTCTGAGGGCTTTCCATCCCGAACGAGAAGGGAAACTCCTCCTGACGACTCTCGGCTTCATCAAACAGGAAACCTTGTAGAGAAACAGCATTAACTCATTAAAGCAGAAAATATAAGACTATTTTTATGTATATAGAAGCATTTAGGCTAAATTTAATTTATACTTTAGAATATATTTTTGTTTTTAAACGAAGTCTCTTGCTCATCAAGGCTGCATTTATTTTATTAAAACTACAGTAATATTGTGAAATATGATTATAGTAACCGTATTCTATGTGAATATATTGTAAAATATAATTTATTCCTGTGATCAAAGCTGAATTTTCAGCATCATTTGCTTCTCAAGAAACATTCATTTTTTAAGAATTTAGCAAGGATGCATTAAATTGATCAAAAGTGACAGTAAAGAAAAGATTTCTATCTTACATAAATGCTGTTCTTTTGAACTTTCTATTCATCAAAAAAAAAAAATACTGTAATCATGTAAAAATCATGTAATACTGAAGACTGGAGTAATCATGCTGAAAATTCAGCTTTAATCACAGGAATAAATTACATTTTGAAATATATTCACAGAAAACCGTTATTTTGAATTATAATATTGACAATATGACTGTTTTTACTGTATTTTTGATCAAATAAATGGAGCATAATCATAATAAATGGTGAGCATAAGAGACTTCTTTGATAAATAAAATAAAAAAAACTTAATTATTCCAAACTTTTGACAGGTAGTGCAGATATTACTCATGAATCATACTTTACCTGAGAACTTGGGTGCTGATCCTGGTGACTTCTGTTACCAGAAATACAAAATCAGCTTTCAAACATTTAAAACATTCAGCCATTAAACACAAACATTTCTCCAGAAATACCTTGTCGCTGAAATAGGAGCTTGTGAAGGTAAATGGAGATGCCTACAACACACACACACACACACACACAAATGAAATGATGAAACTCTTTAATGAATCAATCTTCCAGCTTCTGAAGTTCACCTCTTCTGCTGCCGATCCCATGTCAAAGTCGCAGCCCAGCTTCGAGAACGCAGGTGTGTTTGGACCCGACATCATGGTGAACACAAAAGCGGGCGACTTGGTGTCTGAGATCTCCTGTCCTCCAGGTAAGCATCTGGGACTTTTGCTGTTAACAGATCGAACAGTAATCAAAACAGTTCTATTAAAGCAACACCAAGTAACTTTTCCTCTGCGGTCGCCCTACAGGTTGGAAGCGGAATTGTCCATTACCGCTGTGGTAAATACTTTAGCCTAGCGCATCCTACTGTCGCACACACACTCGCTGTTTATCCAGCGCCGGCTTTGGAATGAATGATGTTCACAGACAAGCTAGAGTGTGTTGCATGATTTCATGAAAGTATGATGTATTGCGACATCAGAAACGAAGAAAAACTAAATAATGACTATTGTAACGCTTGACGTAAAGCAAGTCAAATTTGTAGTTTTCTTATGTCTCATTAGAACTACAGAAACGCGACCCGATCTGGCAATCTCACACAGCGTGGCTATAGCAGATATAGGACCGCAAAGCCAATCCAGAAGTGCCTTTCACCCTGTTACGACTTAATGAACCACTGAAACCATTTTGGAAACATTATTTTAAGGTAAAAAAATCTTACTTAGTGTTGCTTTAAAACGTGTTTACTTTCTGATACATGTCCCTGCTCTTGTGAATGATACATCAGAGCACGTTAAAGCAAATAAAATCAAGATTAAACATTGGCTCTAAATCCTTTTTGGTTGACATTCACAATCCCTTCACTAGTTTAGAAAACACGGAATATTCAGTAATATTACTAATTTGACTACACTGACACTATTGGATGAGAACAAAACTTGAAGTGAATCGAGTTGAATAATGACACTTGTCTTCTGTAGAGCTGTTTACGGCTGAATTGAACTTGTTTCATAATTGATTAACTTTACAGTTATTGAACTGAATAATAGTCTTTTTAGAGCTGCTTACAACAGAATTTGTCTCATATTTGTTGAAATTTGCATTAATGATTGTTATTTTTCAGTTTATTCCTGTGAAGCTGCTTTGAAACAATGTGCACTAGGGATGTAACGATACCCTCATGTCACGATTCGATACATATCACGATCCTGAACTCACAATACGATATTATTGCAAAACTCCAAGACATATGGTAAAAGGTTAAAGATTAAAATGCTAAATTTGATATTACATTGGTGTGTAAATGAATAGGCTTGGACTTGGTGCTGGAAACCCAAAGCACAGGACAATAGAGACACCAGAATAACAATATTCATGATTCTGAAGCTGAAATTACAGAATTATTTTAGACAAACATGCTTACGCTCTGTCTAGTTGTATTTAAAATATTGTAGGCCACGTTTTACTGGCAACATCAGACATTTGGCATTATCAGGAGGACCCACAAATATTCCCTCAGTGCATTATATTCAACATTATATATAGTAGTTTAATGTAGAACTGACACTCACTCTGTAAACGTGAATTTTTTTCTCGCATAGTACATTTGATTTTGGCTGAACTAAACGCAATACATATTGTCACTATCCACGATACATATTGTTGCATTTTTGTATTGCGATATATTGTTTGTTACACCCCTAATGTGCACTGTATAAAGCGCAATAGAAATAAAGCTGACTTGAGTTGTGCATCACAATTTAGGTGTATCCCTGAAAAATGCATGAAGAAAAATAGGTTGCAAATGTTTCATGTTGACTTTAGACTAATGTAAGGGACAGGTACAGTGAGGTCAGGTCGTACTTTAAGGAGAAGGTCGGGGTGTTCGGTGTGGCTTTAACTCTAGCCGGTGAGGGAGGAGGGCAGACGGGACCCTCAGTCACTGTGTCCTCGTGAATATCTGCTGTGGTCGCCTCCAAATTATCTTCCTCCTTCTTCTCCTCCTCTTCTGATATTTCCACCATGAGCTCAGAAGCACATGAAACATTCACATTCCCCTGCTGCATTCATCCAAACAGAAAATATATAAGAATATATACGGTACACTACAGGTCAAAAGTCATATATTTGAAAGAAGTCTCTTACAGCAAAAACAGGATTATTGTGAAATATTATTACAATTTAAAATAACTGTTTTCTATGTGAATATATAGTAAAGTGTAATTTATTCCTGTGATCAAAGCTGAATTTTCAGCATCATTACTCCAGTCTTCAGTGTCACATGATCCTTCAGAAATCACTCTAATATGATGATTTGCTGCTCTAGAAACATTTATGATTATTATCAATGTTGAAAACAGTTTTTGCTGCTTGATATTTTATTTATTTTTTTAAAAGAAATTAATACTTTTATTCATCATGCATCAAATTGATCAAAAGTGACAGTAAAGATATTTATCATGTGATTTCTACTTCAAATAAATGCTGTTCTTTTGAACTTTCTATTCATTAAAGAATTGTGGGGGAAAAAAGGATCACGGTTCCCACAAAAACATTAAGCCGTTTTCAACACTAATAATAAGAACCATAATTAATAATTGAGGAGCTAATCATATTAGAATGATTTCTGAAGGATCATGTGACACTGAAGACTGGAGTAATGATGCTGAAAAAAAATAAAATTACAATTTACAATATATTCAAATAGAAAACAGTTATTTTAAATTGTAATAATATTTCACAGATTCTTCATAAAATAAAGAGCATTGATGAACAAAAGAGAGACTTCTTTAAAAAAAAAACATTTAAAAAACGTAAATTATTACAAACATCATGACCGGTAATGTACTGTATATTTTAATCATTTAAAAGCAGTTGTCTGTATTTCAACTATACCGGTTCATTCACCTTCTCTGACTGACTCTGATCGCCTTCTTGCATTTGATCTATAATGAAAGGAAAACTCGATTGTGATCGATAAATCTGTGAGCTTATTGTGGTTTATCTTGTGATGCTTTCAGAAAATTAATATATGCTGGTGTTTACCTTCTACAGTTTCTCTCTTTGTCCATAAGCAGTGGGAAAATGTGTCCATTTGAGATTCACTTTCTGCAGTTTTAACCTTATTCGCCTCAGAAGGATCTTCATCAACTATGTGCTCATCTGCGTATTCTTCAGGCCTCTAAAAGTTACAGAACTCACAATTACTTTTCTCAAGTATTAAATAGAAGCAAACCATTTTGTATATTTTTTTTCTCTCCCAATTCATGTAGATGGAGCTGTAGTTTCAGGACAACAGCAGAAGTACCTGCATTATGGGCTCTTGATGAGGGACCATTTCATCAAATGACTCGCTTTCAGTTTGTAGGCTGTCATTGTCTGGACACTTACTATTTTCATAGCGATTTCAGAAAAAAGTGAATTAGACAAATGTACGGAAGCGTATTGCATTCACAGGAAAAAAAATCTACTATGTTTTTCTGAATTAACGAGTTAATTATCTCAGAATTACGAGATCATTTTTCATGGGAAAAAAGTTTTTGCTCTATTTTTCTGAATTAACGAGTTAATTATCTCAGAATTACGAGATAATTTTTCATGGAAAAAAAGTTTTTGCTCTGTTTTTCTGAATTAACGAGTTAATTATCTCAGAATTACGAGATAATTTTTCATGGAAAAAAAAGTTTTTGCTCTGTTTTTCTGAATTAACGAGTTAATTATCTCAGTATTACGAGATAATTTTTCATGGAAAAAAAGTTTTTGCTCTGTTTTTCTGAATTAACGAGTTAATTATCTCAGAATTACGAGATAATTTTTCATGGAAAAAAGTTTTTGCTCTGTTTTTCTGAATTAACGAGTTAATTGTCTCAGAATTACGAGATAATTTTTCATGGAAAAAAGTTTTTGCTCTATTTTTCTGAATTAACGAGTTAATTATCTCAGAATTACGAGATCATTTTTCATGGGAAAAAAGTTTGTGCTCTGTTTTTCTGAATTAACGAGTTAATTATCTCAGAATTACGAGATAATTTTTCATGGAAAAAAAAGTTTTTGCTCTGTTTTTCTGAATTAACGAGTTAATTATCTCAGAATTACGAGAATTTTTCATGGAAAAAAGTTTTTGCTCTGTTTTTCTGAATTAACGAGTTAATTATCTCAGAATTACGAGATAATTTTTCATGGAAAAAAGTTTTTGCTCTATTTTTCTGAATTAACGAGTTAATTATCTCAGAATTACGAGATAATTTTTCATGGAAAAAAAGTTTTTGCTCTGTTTTTCTGAATTAACGAGTTAAATATCTCAGAATTACGAGATAATTTTTCATGGAAAAAAGTTTTTGCTCTATTTTTCTGAATTAATGACTCATTAGTAACTCATTAATTCATAAAAACAGAGTGAAAAAAATCTTTTTCAAGAAAAAATTATCTCATAATTGTGAGATAATTAACTTGTTAATTCAGAAAAACAGAGCAAAGACTTTTTCCCCATGAAAAAATATCTCGTAATTCTGAGATAATTAACTCGTTATTCAGAAAAACAGAGCAAAAACTTTTTTCCATGAAAAATTATCTCGTAATTCTGAGATAATTAACTCGTTAATTCAGAAAAACAGAGCAAAAACTTTTTTCCATGAAAGATTATCTCGTAATTCTGAGATAATTAACTCGTTAATTCAGAAAAACAGAGCAAAAACTTTTTTCCATGAAAAATTATCTCGTAATTCTGAGATAATTAACTCGTTAATTCAGAAAAACAGAGCAAAAACTTTTTTTCCATGAAAAATTATCTCGTGATTCTGAGATAACTAACTCGTTAATTCAGAAAAACAGAGTAGATTTTTTTTCCTCAAGTGAATGCAATACGCTTCCGTACGAATGCAACAAACCTCTGATAAAAACAAATCTGCTGTAAAGATAAAATACCTGTCAGCACCATCAGTGACTGGCTCCTCCTCACCTGTCAAAACAGAAGAAGATCTGTGTTGATGGAATAGTTCATCCAGACATTATTTCTGTTGTTTGGAACAACATGATTTTTTATTTTTGAACGAACTGTTACTTTAAGAACAGAGTTACCCAGTGCTGCTGTCAGTTCTCTATCCTTCTCCATTATTTGTTCTTCGATTGCTCTAATTCTCCTTTCGATTTCCTCATTCTCAGCTTGAGCCTTCAGCAGTTTCTGAGCTAGTGAGTTCTGACAGTATCGATCCTTATACTGCTGAAACACGCTCCTGTAGCTCTCGATTCTCTCCTGGAACATTTTCCTTCAAAGACCAAGCATCTTTAGCCCTATAAAGCCTACTGTATCATGTTTGATACATGAATTATGTATCATGAATTATAACTTTACTGAAAAACCTGTCGGACACAATCGACTACATGCCTTCTGTCACCTGACTGATATAGTTTATATGTTTTTAGCAAGTAAAAGGTCTTTTAGTATAATTGTGAAAACGTGCATCTTCAGTTCGTGGTTCATGTGTCTTTTTGCTGTGAAATCTTTAATGGGTTTTTATAAAGTAAACATAAGAAAAACGTTTTATTCCGTTAGTCATATTTCGAAATGAAGTACCGGTATCTATAAAATATGATCCATCAGGCTTTTGAGGAACATTTAATTTTCTGTCAATCATCATTGTATTGCATTGCATTATGTTGAAATACAGATCTTAGATATTTTTTGTATGATATAACAGATATGTATATGCATTTTATGCAAGTAGTCTATTATACTGTTATAAAGATCTCATTGATTTACATTACAAGCTATCAGAATTTAATTTACCTTTTTGCATGTTTTTGCTCAGTTTGGACCTCTGAATAACATTGAGATGTTTTTTCCTCCTGGAGTGTGAGATCCATATTCCCACTATATCATACTATAATATGAGTCATAAAAGCCTAATGTATCAAATGTATTTTTTTAAGATTTTTTTTCTCTCTAAATGTTTAATAAACTGTTCTAGTTTCCTATATCAGGGTTAAGTTCATTCAAGTGCAACACTACAGTGGTGGAGATACCTCAATGCGCTGCAACTGAAGAAAACACATACAAATAGAAAAAACACCAGCAAATTAAGAAAACATCTTAATCAGTTTGACAACACATGTGCTGCACACAATGTAACCAAATACAGAAACACACTGCAAATACTCACAACACAACAAATACAGAAACGTGCTGTATTCGGTTACGTTGTATTTGCAGCTCGTTTCTGTCTTTGGTTGCGTTGTGAGTATTTGCAAAGTGTTTCTGTATTTGGTTGCGTTTCTGTTGTGTTGTGTTGTGAGTATTTGCAACGTGTTTCTGTCTTTGGTTGCGTTTCTGTATTTGTTGTGTTGTGAGTATTAGTTGTATTGTGAGTATTTGAAGCGTGTTTCTGTATTTGGTTTTGAGTATTAGTTGTGTTGTGAGTATTTGAAGCGTGTTTCTGTATTTGGTTGCGTTGTGAGTATTTGCAGCTCGTTTCTGTCTTTGATTGCGTTTCTGTATTTGTTGTGTTGTGAGTATTTGCAAAGTGTTTCTGTATTTGGTTGTGGTGTGAGTATTAGTTGTATTGTGAGTATTTGAAGCGTGTTTCTGTCTTTGGTTTTGAGTATTAGTTGTGTTGTGAGTATTTGAAGCGTGTTTCTGTATTTGGTTGCGTTGTGAGTATTAGTTGTGTTGTGAGTATTTGAAGTGTGTTTCTGTATTTGGTTTTGAGTATTAGTTGTGTTGTGAGTATTTGAAGTGTGTTTCTGTATTTGGTTTTGAGTATTAGTTGTGTTGTGAGTATTTGAAGTGTGTTTCTGTATTTGGTTTTGAGTATTAGTTGTGTTGTGAGTATTTGAAGTGTGTTTCTGTATTTGGTTGCGTTGTGAGTATTTGCAGCTCGTTTCTGTCTTTGATTGCGTTTCTGTATTTGTTGTGTTGCGAGTATTTGCAAAGTGTTTCTGTAATCGGTTGCATTGTGAGTATTTGCAGCTCATTTCTGTATTTGGTTGCGTTATGAGTATTTGGAGCACATGTATTGTCAAACTAATGAAGATGTTTTCTTAATTTGCTGGTGTTTTTTCTAGTCGCATGTGTCTTGTTGCAGCTTGTTGAGCTGTCTCCGTCACCGTACAACACCATTATGGTACTTCATGTTGACTTTACGCTGGACCTACATGTCTTCCTTATAGCTGTTCTGTCTCGTCTCTAGCTCAGCTTCCAGTGTCTTTTCATACTGAAGCAGCAGATGTCCTGTTCTCTGTTGACTGATATCAGAACAAAATATTCATATTAAACGATAATATGTTAATTTGAGATTGGAAAATAAAAAACTGTCAGACACACTTTGCCATACTTTTTTGTGTTTTCTTTGATAAACTTCCCAGTGTTTTGCTTCTGCTGGATCTCCTCATCGAGTTTGCTGATGGTAAGTTGTGTTGTCTTAATGTAATCCTTCTTCTCCTGAATGTTGGACTCACAAACTAAAAACACAACAGACAGAACAATTAATGATAACAAACTATTTTTCTTCTCTTTATAATATATGTCGGTGATTAGGGGAGCTTTTTTGTCCAAGGCTTATCCAATGTTGTGAGGTGTTCCTAAAAACTTACTTTGTATTTGCTGCTTGAGGTCATTATTCCTCTGAGCAAGTTCTCGACTCTCTATACCTGTCGTAGATATAACAGCAGTACATATAAAGTTAAACTTGTCAAAGAACCGGTTTGTTAAAAAAAAATTAAATGAAGTGAATTCATCACCTAACTGAAGCAGCAGGTTGTCCAGTTGATTTACCGTCTGCTCCTCCATTCAAACACGATAAAAAAACACACACAGGTCTTGAAAATACCACAAATATCACGTAAATAGTCTATTTTCCAGTCTCGATAAATTACATAACTCAAATATGGAATTGAAAGGCGAATATTGTGCGTATTGACGTATATACGGAGCTCGAGCGCGTCAGTTAAAACGTCCGTTACGTTACTCCACGAGCTTCTGAATTTCTGAGTCTGACTGAGGTGTGATGACGACATACTCGCGTATCAGATCACTTTCAAATAAATTAAATAATAAATATAAATACATTATTAAATAAGTAAGTTCATTTGCCTGGCGTGAGACAAGTCGTTACTTGTTTTCTGAATAAATAATGAAACAGATTTAACCAATAACATCAAAGTTTTTAATTATGATATCATATTTTATGTGCATATCAGTTAAACTGCCTTATTTTATCAAATAAATTATTTTAATGAAATAAATGCAGACATACACACAAATAAACGCAATTTAAAAGGAATATTTAGAATAAAATACTGATTGTAAAAATAAATGTAGCAATAAACGTAGTAGTATTTCACCGAAAGATTTGGCTGGAGGAGGGGCTTCGATTTATTGTCATCCGATTGGACGAGACGGGGGTTCCAGAGTTAATGGGCGTGACTTGTATGCATTGTGGCCCAGGCGCATCTGTATGGCGGCTGCTGTTGGACATTTAACCCAGCTAAACATTTCATCGCAAGAGTTTTCACAGCGGTTCTTTCATGCATGTGCATCTGGTAGGTGCGAATAAGGTAATGAATTAAGCAGGAGCTTCTTGTGTTTGTGAATAAGACTCTTCTTACAGTAGATCATGGTGTGATTATTAAATCGGATCAGCAGAGACAAAAACAGCCTCCGCCTGGCGCTCAAGCATTACAATACACTGATTTAAAATAAACCGCTATCTCAATGGGGTTTAAAATGAAGGATTTTTAGTTTTAGACGGTATTTTATTAAAACATAATCCTATGACTGACAGTTCGATTCCGTTATCTCCTATGTCTTTGTTTCTCTGACAATAGAGCTGATTGAGACCCAGCTCGCTGACGGAAGGGTGTTGTTTCCTACACAAAATATATGTGTCAGTGTTATTTTAGTTTTATTTATATACTATTTTAGCAATTATTCATATTTTAAATTCGCTTTAATTTTTATATTTTCATTTTAGTGTAAGTTTGTCTTTTTGTCATGTGCTTTTGTAATTTTTTATTTAAAGATTTAATTTATGTTTACTTCGGTTTTAGTACTTCAACCTAAGTTATTTTATTCCAGTATCTAATTTGTATATTTTATTGTACTTTATTTTAGTGCTGTTAAATCGATTATTCGCATCTAACCTAAAAGTTTGTAGACACACACATACATATTATATATTCACAAACTTTTATGTTAGATGCAATTAATCACAATTAATCGATTTGACAGAACTACTTTTTTTCAATTAACAATTTTTTTATTTTTTTATTTTTTTATTTTAGTTAACAATAACAACACTGGTACATGTTCACTGTTATTGTTCAGGAAAATCAATAAAAGTTTTAATACACCTTCACCCCTACCAGATATTACACTGTAATTACATTTATAACATTTTGAAAAATTTGACAACTTGACAAGACTTGTCTTTTATAAACTTACTTACATTACCTTTTAGTTCAAATGAGACTAAACAATGTAATTTTTTCCTTATTTTCCCATTTGATTGAATGCATGCCAACTGTGCATCAAGATGTTCTCTCTTTCTCACAGGCTTATCATGTGTGAATGGAGTAAATAGCCTTTTCCTAGTCTCTCTGAAGTTGTAGCTCTTCTCAAAGCTTGCGAGACAGTGAACCGGAGCATGGAGCCGGTGGAGCAGCTGGAGTCGGGTCGATCTGAGGTCTCGGATGGGCCGATGGATGTAGGAATCAGCGGAACCAGCACTCGACGGAAGAGGAGAAAGCGGGAACACCGGCCGGAGTCCATCATCGTCTACCGCTCGGATCCAGAGAGAGCCGCTGGTGAAGAAGAGCATGGGGCAGATAGTGAAGCTGGAGGGGGGAACTCTGAAGAAGGGGCTACATTTCTCAACAACCCCAGCAGTGAAGGTGAAGCATTACATTTTGTGCCTTATCCTAACCAAAACTTTTTTTATTTTTGCAGTTTAGTTTCAATAAATTGTTGCATTCTAATGCAAAAAGCAAAAACAAAACAAAAATGTGTGTCAGTTTTTCTATTTAGATTTAATTTACGTTTACTTCAGTTTTAGTACTTCAACCCAAGTTATTTTATTCCAGTATCTAATTTGTATATTTTATTGTTTACTGTATTTTAGTGCTGTAAAATCGATTATTCGCATCTAACATAAAAGTTTGTGTGTATATATAGACAGACACACACACACACAAACACACGATCAATTTTCAAGAGCATGGAAACTATTTTCCTCACAAACATTCTTACAAAATAACCCCCCAAAAAATTGTCATTAGTTAGTGAACTGTTCCATCTGTTGAAAAGTTGAATTCGCTAAAAGTGAAGGTACGTATTTTTCATCGGACAGTGACAAAATGCTATTTCTTCATAAGAAAATGAAGTTTTGAGTTCTGAAAGTTACTAAATAAGTACTCTTTTATCTTAAAAGATTTAGGAAAATTTGATTCCTCATTTAAGTAGCATTTATTTCTATAGTGCTTTTTATACAGTATACAGATTATTTCAAAGCAGCTTCACAGTGATAAACAGGAAAATAACAGTGTTAATGAAACAATAGTTGTATGAAACAAGCTGATTTCAGCACTACAGAAGACAATAGTGTCATTATTCAGCTCAATTCAATTCAGTTCAATAACAACAATTCCGATGTTGCAAACTAAGTTATTTTTCAGCTCAATTCAGTTTCAATTAATTTTGTTCTCCTCTGATCTACAGGTGAAACTCGAAAAATTTGAATATGGTGCAAAAGTTTATTTATTTCAGTAATTCAACTTAAAAGCTGAAACTAATATATTATATAGACTCATTACATGCAAAGTGAGATATTTCAAGCCTTTATTTGTTATAATTTTAATGATTATGGCTTACAGCTTATGAAAACCCCAAATTCAAAATTAGAATATTGTGAAAAGGTTTTCATAACTGTAAATCATAATCATTAAAATTATAACAAATAAAGGCTTGAAATATCTCACTTTGCATGTAATGAGTCTATATAATATATTAGTTTCACCTTTTAAGTTGAATTACTGAGATAAATAACGATATTCTAATTTTTCGAGTTTCACCTGTAGTGCAGTTAAATAGATAATTACTGAATATTAATTGTCTTTGTCTTTTAATAGGAAATGCATTCGGTCTCATTGTAAATGAATTGTCTTGACCTCTTTAGGTTGGGCTGTGCCTCCAGATAGTCGCTACGTGACGCTCACAGGGACCATCACGCGTGGAAAGAAGAAAGGTCAGATGGTGGACATTCACGTGACGCTCACAGAGAGAGAGTTGCGTGAGATGGCGAGGTCAAAGGAGCGGCTGGATGCCGAATGCGACGCTCGAGAGGGATCGAGTCGCTCGTGTGGATTCGGCGTTTCTCAGGGTCCTCACGTCGTCTTGTGGAGCCTCTCCTGTGCTCCCGTAGTCTTCGTCCTGTCCTTCATCACCTCGTTCTACTATGGGACTCTCACGTGGTACAATATTTTCCTGGTGTACAACGAGGAACGGACGTTCTGCCACAAAATCACGGTGTGCCCCTTCCTCATCATCTTCTATCCGGTGCTCATCGTGGCTCTCTCGCTGTCGCTGGCTCTTTACTCGGCCGTGGCGCAGGTGTCCTGGGCTTTCAGCGAGTGGTGGACGTCCGTCAGGGATTTAGAGAAGGGTTTCTGCGGGTGGGCTTGTGGGAAGCTCGGTTTGGAGGACTGTTCACCCTACAGCATAGTCGAGCTGCTGGACTCGGACACGATCTCTGGGAGTCTGCAGGGAAAGTCGCTGGAAACATCCTCGGTGTGAATAGATTTTCTCAGCTGGTTATCGGTCCTGTTTATTGACACTTGGCGAGTGTTATGGCCACCTGGTATTACGATGCGTTTTGGTCGATCGGATCACAAGTAGACAGTTGTAAATGGGGTCTAAAACGTTTTGAGCTTGTCCACTTTTGACCACTTCCAGATGTTGTTAAAAACGCAAATTGCAAATGTATTCGAACAGCCAAAAAAAGACTCTAGTCTCCTCCTACTGACTCAATGCGTAAACATTATGGGAATCACACTAGCCAGACAGGATTTAAACTTTGTCGGCTGGAGACCCAAGTTTGGTTTCAAGCAAGCTGCAACCTTGCTCTCTCTCTCTTGAATCCAACACAGAAGTGACTTAAACTGCAATTCATCGACTGGCCACTAGAGACAGGCTCCAAAAGAGAGTCAATCCCATAGACCCCCATGTTAAAATGCCCAACTTTACAGCAGAAAAAACTATGTTTACAGCCTGGTACAAAAAGTGGTTTTGGTCTATATACCTAATTTTGCCCTTCGTGACAACTGTGAGTTGGGTGAATTGTTTTATAACTCATCCGTTAAAATTATATTAAGTCTTAAAGGCTCCAGCCTCGGCTGGAGACCCAAGTTTGGTTTGAAGACGAAAACATACCCAGCACAATGTTCTCTCACCATTCCTGATTTCTAACACTCACATCGCTCTGCTTAATCCTTGTTTATTGCCACTTGGCGAGTATTAATTTAGGATCCTGGGCCAAACTTTTGTTTTGTTTTTCTTATAGCTTACAGGTGAAACTCGAAAAATTTGAATATCGTGCAAAAGTTTGCATTTATTTCAGTAATTCAACGTAAAAGGTGAAACTAATATATTATATAGACTCATTACATGCAAAGTGAGATATTTCAAGCCTTTATTTGTTATAATTTTGATGATTATGGCTTAAAAATTAGAATATTGTGAAAAGGTTTTCATAACTGTAAGTCATAATCATCAAAATTATAACAAATAAAGGCTTGAAATATCTCACTTTGCATGTAATGAGTCTATATAATATATTAGTTTCACCTTTTAAGTTGAATTACTGAAATAAATGCAAACTTTTGCACGATATTCAAATTTTTCGAGTTTCACCTGTATATCTTAGGGTTGGTTCACACTTGTAGCTCGGTTCTCTTGTTGTTGTTTTTGGTCCAGACCAAAAAAGAAAATGATACATTTAGTCCTGGTTCACTTAACGTTCACACTGGAACATTGCATGGAGGAACAAATGCACACACACAAACGAAGATCTGCTGCGAGGAGACGCGGTTCTGATGCCTGTGCCGGACTGTAATGGGCAACAATCCTATGACGAGAAGAACCAGGTATCCTTGAGCATTCTGTGCATTTAAGGGTCACAATTTGTGACATCACGTCCTGTTTTTGGTTCATTTAGATGTCTTTGGTCCGTGTTGCATTCATATTACTGTCGAAAAAGTTTGTTTTAATTGAACCAAACCTGCCAAGTGTGAACACACCCATAGTTGTTGTTTTTTATGAAACCGTGTTTTCTTATTTTCATATTGTATGTCAGACTTTCAAACTTTCTTAAAGATGTGTATTTAAAATATTTATTCTTTCCTATTTCATTGTATTTATTTGGTAATACTTTACAATAAGATCCTATTAGTTAATTAACTAACATTAACTAATGAACAATACAGTACATATTAATCTTTATTAATGTTAGTTAATAACAATACATCTACTCATTGTCGACTCGGGTCCATTAAATATTAACAATATAACTATTGATTTTAAAAATCTATTAGTAAATAATAGATTTTAAGTAATAGACATTCATTTAACTACATTCATGTTAATGAATGTAGTTAACAAATGGAACCTTATTGTAAAGTGTTACCATTTATTTTTACCATTTGCATGTTTTATTTTAATTAAAAATATTTTTCTGTACGTCCGAAGGGTAAAGGAAAGAACAGAGGAGTATATGCTTTTCATAACTTCCTGTAAAATTAAGCCATATATATGCAATTAAACTGTGATTATTTGTGAGATTGTGAGAGCCCTGCATACTCTCTAAGTTGTTTTAATTTGCTCACTAACGACGAATACCGAAGAGAATTTATGTGCAGAACGTTGTGAGTGTGTGTGTGTGTGTTTATGATTATGATTATATATGGGGCAGACAGTTATTCCAAAAAATATGTTCATAACCAGGTCTTGGGCATCAAAAGAACATTTTAAATAATTTTAAATCAAATTCATTATGAGAAATGTGTGTTACTTTTAACATGTGTTTGGTTAGTTAAGAATTTTTTGTCAAAATTTTGTATTTTTCCCTTTGTTTCTGACTTTGCACTTTCATTGTGCAGTAATGCTCAATAAAATTCCTATTCCTGTATTTTCATGTCAGGTTTGTGTGTCTATTGTGATCTATAAAACAAAACATGTTAAAAACCCTTTGCAGAATTGATAACTTAGGAATTTTACAGATGAAATTGCCTGAAGAAAAAAAAGTATTGTAGGAAAGTTATACTAAACATATTTTTTCCCTTGCTCACCAGGTTTAACTCTCTGATGTATGCATTAGTGATGAAGGAAAATATATTTTGATGTTTCTTTTTTCTTCACAACAAGAACTTTCAAAATATGTAGTACTAACAGTTTGTAATCCAAAGGCCTTTTTTGTATGCAAGCAAACAATTTACCTTTGTTAAACTCATAGGCCTGGTTTCACAGACAGGGTTTAGATTAAGCCAGGATTAGGCTTTTAAGTATCTTTTATAAACGTGCCTTAGAAAAAAACAAAAACAATAACACCCATTGTAGAAGCACCAACTCTGCTTGTAAGTTTAAACTTGACATAAACTGTAAACTTGTCCCTCAAATCATATTGGTTGATTGAATGTTGTAATGTTGATCCATAAACATGATGCATTTGGTGAAATCACATTCATCCAAAACAATCACATCCAATTTCAAAGCTACAGGTGTCTATCCAGCCATGTGATTTGCCCTGCAGAGACTGTAATGTTCATGTTATGACTGGATATATGAATGTAGTTTGACCCACATAGAACATACTTCATATAGTATAAGAAGAAGACTCCTGCTTCAAACATAGTATATTCAGTATTCAAGCATACTGATTACTCCATTGTTTTGCATAATCCGCGAGCGCTTCTCTTTTACAGGTTGAGGTAAACAATCGTTTACTCGAAGTTTAAAACTGTGTTTTAAATTATATTAAAGCATTATCAAGTGTCCTGGAATATAGGAGCACACGTTTCTGGGGTTTTATTATCGTTTTGTTTCGCTGTCTGAGGCGGAACCTTGTATCGTCCGTTCATTTACTCACCCGGAACAATAACAGGCGGAAACCAGCAGAGATGGCGCGAGCGGCGAAGGTAATTTAGTCATTATTGGTCTTCATAATCAAAAGCTTGTTTTATTATTAATTAATAGTATGACTTAACTTTTATGAGACACATAGTACATAAGACAGACTCACCACCTGGTTTGTATTTATGTCCGTATTCACACAGAACAGAACATTTCACCCACTTAAGTAACTCCTAAAATGTAGAAAATAAGTGTCATATAAAAGTTATTATCTGCAGATTTAAGTATCGTTTAATATTCACATTTATATCAGATGCGTAAATTAAAATAGATAGGATTTATATTTTGAATATTACGAATGCTGTCATAGATGTATAATGTGGATTGCTTATTATTTGCTCTTTGGAATATTTAATGAAAATGTTTCTGTTTATATTGAGATCTTGAGTAAAATCTTAAATGCTATTGTTTTAGTATCTTTTGTTTAAAATTTTAGACATTTTCTGAAACTCTAGAAAAGACACGTGTGAGATTGTTCTCTGGAGAAACATCTGAGAAATTTTAGAGTTAAGCATGTCTCATTTAATCTCATTGTATAAAAAAAGATAATTCTGTCATAATTTTCTGATTTACAAGTTGTTTCAAACCATATCTACATATTTACTATCTCTCTCGCTCTCTAAAAAAGTGAAGAAGAATTCTATGAAAGCTTAATAACTTTTTTACAACAAAAATGAACCATCACTGAACTTACTTAAGCTGGACTGTGATGCTATTTTCTTTTAGAAACAAACTTTGTTGCATTATTTCTCTCTGTAAAGCTGCTTTGAAACTATCGGTATTATAAAAAGCGCTATATAAATGAAGGTGACTTGACTTGAAAGCTTGTTTCAACCACGGAATAAAAAAAATAAGATAACTGGGACTTTTTATCTCATAATTCTGAGAAAAAAAGTCAAGAATTGTGAGAGATAAATTCAGAATTGAGAGAATTGTAAGTTGAAAAGTTACGATTGCCTTTTTTTAATTGCAAGATGTATTATATCCCACAATTCTGACTTCTTTTCTTGTAATTCTGAGTTTATATCTCACTATTCTGAAAAATAGTTGGAATTGCGAGAAATAAATTCTCAATTGTGAGATACAAACTTGCAATTGGGAGAAAAAATTCAGAATTGTGAGATAAAATCTTGCAGTTGTAACTTGTATTTATACATTACTTTTTTATTCCATTGCGGAAACAAGCTTCCATAGAATTATGGTGAACTATTCTTTTTCTGCACGTATCCACAGCTGTCTTTGTCTTTTGCTTTTATTCTGTAGTCAGCGTTGGTGCTGTGCATGGATGTGGGTTTCTCCATGAGCAACTCTGAGCCGGGTCATGAACCACCCTTTGAACAAGCCAAAAAAGTCATCCAGAAGTTCGTCCAGCGGCAGGTTTGTACTCAATGTTTTCAATTTATTTATAATATGTGACCCTGAACCACAAAACCAGTCACAAGGGTAACATTTTTTTTAAATTGAGATTTATACATCATCTGAAAATTTAATAAATAAGCTTTCCATTGATGTACAGGTGAAACTCGAAAAATTAGAATATGGTGCAAACGTTTATTTATTTCAGTAATTCAACTCAAAAGGTGAAACTAATATATTATATAGACTCATTACATGCAAAGTGAGATATTTCAAGCCTTTATTTGTTATAATTTTGATGATTATGGCTTACAGTTATGAAAACCTTTTCACAATATTCTAATTTTGAATTTGGGGTTTTCATATCTGTAAGCCATAATCATCAAAATTATAACAAATAAAGGCTTGAAATATCTCACTTTGGATGTAATGAGTCTATATAATATATTAGTTTCACCTTTTAAGTTGAATTACTGAACTTTTGCACGATATTCGAATTTTTCGAGTTTCATCTGTATGTTTGTTAGGAATAGGACTATATTTGGTCGAGATATGATATTTGAACATCTGGAATCTGAGGGTGCAAAAAAATCAAAACATTGAGAAAATCGCCTTTAAAGTTGTCCATTTATGTTCGTGCTTTTGCTGCATCCACTCACAAAAATATATTTTTTATATATTTACTGTAGGAAATTGACAAAATATATTCATGGAACATGATCTTTACTTAATATCCTAATGATTTTTGACATAAAAGAAAAATCGATAATTTTGACCCATACAATGTATTGCCACAAATATACCCGTGCGACTTGTGACTGGTTTTGTGGTCCAGTTTTCCATATGTGCTATTACACAGGACGTCAATCAAGCGGTTTTTATATATTTCAGGTGTTTGCTGAGAATAAAGACGAGGTGGCTCTGGTGCTGTTTGGTACTGATGGCACTAAGAACCCTCTGGCCAAAGACGGGCAGTACGAGAACATCACGGTCCACCGGCACCTCATGATGCCTGACTTTGAGCTGCTCCAAGAGATCGAGAGTGAACTTCAGCCTGGTGGTCAGCAAGCAGACTGTATCCTTCATCTTACTGTTACCATATAATCGCTGATAAGATAACACAACACCAGACTTTATAGCTCTCAGGAGACTATGTGTATTGTAAAATACATGAAACAAAATAACACTCATTTTGTAATTGAGGGTTTCCAAACTGTTGTTCATGAGGGAACTGCAGTGGGGCTGTGAGTTAATAACAAACGAATAATTATTTAAATTATTTCCCACATCGGGAATCATAAACAATTTCTTTATATTAAACATTAAATATGCTATTTACAGTATATATATATATATATATATATATATATATATATATATATATATATATATATATATATATATATATATATATATATATATATATATATATATAATAAACTAAACTATATTATAAAATATGCTTTATTATTTAGTATACAAATGTATAAATATATTTTCTAATTATATGAATAAAATATATTCATATAAAAATATTTGTAGATGTAAATTAATTAATTAAATTAAATTTAAGTATTTTTTAATAAAAAATAGATAATATAAAATAAATAAATGTATTATCTAACGGAGGGTTTCCTAACTGTGGTTCATGAGGGTACTGTTAATAATTATATATATATATATATGTATATATATGTATTTTATAAATACGTTTTATATGTGCATAAATAAATACAAATTATTTTATTTATTTATTTTTTAATAAAAATCAAATAATATAAAATAAATTAAAAGGTGCTTATCAGGGGGTTGTGATTGATAAAATACTAATAAATTAATTAAAGCATAAAAATATTACAGTAAAAAGGAATCACTTGCGCCTCAGCCTAGCCAGTGCTCTCGGAACAGGACACAACAATCTTGAGAAAAAGGACCCAAGGTCTTAATAAAAATGTTACATTGAAATAAATAAATAATTTTAAAATAAAAACGATCAAAATAAAAGGTTAATTTTTATTTTGTTTATTTTATAAGAAATATTGTATTTGTTTACCTTCATGTCAAGAGACCATTAACCACATCAGAGAATCGTAAACAATTTCTTTATATTATAAAACATGTTTTATTATTTAGTATACACAAATGTATAAATAATACAATATATTTTATAATTATATAAATAAATTAAAATGAATAAAAATAGTTATTATATTAAAATAAATATATAGGACATTTTTATTAAAATTATTTTTTCAATAAAAAATAAAATAATAATTTTATTTTCTAATTATTTGTTTATTTTATAAGAAATATTTTATTTGTTTACCTACATGTCTTGTGCCCATTAACCCACATCAGAGAATCATGAAGATGTTAAATTTCATGGGGACTAGTAAACATTTTACATCAAAGGGGTTCTAACTTAATAATATTTTACATGTATACAAAAAATATTATTATGTGACGTCCTTGACTTATTTGTCAGGGCTTGATGCTCTTGTGGTTTGCATGGACCTTCTGCAGAATGAAACCATGTGAGATTTTTGTCGCACATTTTCTGTTTTTCTTTTTAAATGCTATTGAGGGGTTTTTACTGCTGCATTCACACTTTTTTTATTTGTTTTGTTTTTTTTAGGGGGAAGAAAAACGATCGTCTGAACATCGTCCTGCTGACGGATCTGAATATACAGACCTCGGCGGACCAGCTGGACGTCATCATCAAAAACTTGAAGAAAGCTGGTATCACCATGCAGTTCTTGTAAGAAACATGCACTGATAACTGATAATTATAATAAAAGCCATGCACAATATAGTTATTTTTCAGAAATAATGTGTATATATAGGTGAAACTCGAAAAATTAGAATATGGTGCAAAAGTTGATTTATTTCATTAATTCAACTTAAAAGGTGAAACTAATATATTATAATCATTACATGCAAAGTGAGATATTTCAAGCCTTTATTTGTCATAATTTTGATGATTATGGATTACAGCTTATGAAAACCCCAAATTCAAAATTAGAATATTGTGAAAAGGTTTTCATAACTGTAATCCATAATCATCACAATTATAACAAATAAAGGCTTGAAATATCTCACTTTGCATGTAATGAGTCTATATAATATATTAGTTTCACCTTTTAAGTTGAATTACTGAAATAAATGAACTTTTGCACGATATTCAAATTTTTCGAGTTTAAAGTATTTAAATATTATGAAGTGGGCATCAGTCATACTGTCTCTTACTGTCTGGTCAGAAGTGACCCAGATTTGATGCTGTAAGTAAACTTTCTGACTGTGAGACTAATTAAAAACAGTTGATTATTGGTAGTCCTGCATCAAACTCGGCACTGATATGCACTAGGGCTGGGCATCGATTCAGATGCAGCGATTCGATTTCGATTTGCAAG